CAGCCAACACCCGCGGTATCTCACTGATACAAGCCTTGTTCGCCGAATACGGCGTTGAGACAGTGCAGAAGTACATGTATGCCATCCAAGCCACAGCCGAGACAGCCGTCCGCAACCTTCTCAAGGATCTGCACAAGAAATTCGGCGGTCAACCGTTGGAGGCAGTCGACTACATGGATGACGGCACACCCATCAGGCTCAAGGTCACTATCAATGGCGAGGATGGTTCCGCTCTATTCGACTTTGACGGTACTGGTCCCGAGGTATACGGTGGATGGAACGCACCCATCGCCATCACCCACTCAGCCATCATCTACTGCCTGCGCTGCATGATCAACGCAGACATGCCCCTCAACCAGGGATGCCTGGCACCTATCGACATCCAGGTCCCATCGCCTAGTATCCTGTCCCCCACCAAGTCTGCCGCTGTGGTCGGCGGAAACGTGGTAACCTCTCAACGCATCACCGACGTCGTCCTCAAAGCCTTCCGCGCCTGTGCCGCCTCCCAAGGATGCTGCAACAACCTGACCTTCGGCACAAACTCCAAGCGCGACCCCGAGACAGGCGAGACTATCCCTGGCTTCGGCTACTACGAGACCATCGCCGGAGGCAGCGGTGCCGGTCCCACTTGGAGCGGAGAGTCCGGTATCCACGTACACATGACCAACACGCGTATCACCGACCCGGAGATTCTGGAGAAGCGCTACCCTACACTTCTCCGACAGTTCACCCTCCGAGAGGGATCCGGTGGCAAGGGAAAGAACCCTGGTGGTGACGGTGTAGTTCGCGATATCGAGTTCCTGTCCCCCATGGAAGTGTCTATCCTTTCCGAGAGGCGTGTATACCGCCCTTACGGACTCGAGGGCGGCGAGGATGCGCAGCCTGGAATGAATCTTTGGGTCACAAAGGATGTGGATACGGGCGTGGAGCGCGTGGTAAACATTGGAGGAAAGAACACGGTGTCTATGAAGACGCATGATCGCATTGTAATCAATACTGCTGGTGGAGGTGGATGGGGAGCTGTATCTGCATGAGGGGCTTGATGTTTTATGATGTTTATATGAGCATGTATGGGTATTAGCTTATAGGATTGTATGATTGTTATATTATCATTGACGAATAAGAATGTTTCAAATACTGTTCCAAAGCTTATATACCTATATACCTATGGATATGTGTTAATTCTGGGGCGCTCATGCTCCCGCATGATTTCATTGTGGGTTGAAACAAGTCTGATACGACGCCATCGTGACAAAGTCATGTATGTGGAAAGGCAGGGCTTCGTATCATCCAGAAATGAGACTTGATTGGTTAAGGAATTTAGTAGGCAGTGACTTCTGTAGGGTACAGTTCCGATAGAAGGGAAGAAAGAAGCAGGCAAAGAAAAGAAAGAGAAAAGGAAGAAAAAGAAAAAAAAAGATCTCCATGAAGGCTTAAGATGAGATGTCTGCTACTATAAAAATATAGCCAAGGAACGACTACTTCGAGGGTGATACAAAACTTCGTGTTTGTAGAAGTAAGAAGTGCTTTGCGCGCACATGTCAGCTTCATTATTAGCTAAAGCAGCAACTAAAGTGGGACTCCTCTAACATCGACCGACACTTGACTTGGAGCGCTACCTGCCGAAGTCCGGTCCGAATCATAACCCGCCTCTTCGTTTGCAGCATCAAAATCTCTTGTGTCATCAGCGGGAGACGGATGTTGTCTATCACTGTCTGACGTATCTGATACCACGACCCGAGCTGGATAAACCACCACCTCTTTGTCTCCTTTGCCATCGTCATCGCCCTTTTTCACTACCAATGGGAAGAGGACTAAGCGAACAACGGCCTGTTCAGTTTGTGCCTGTTCATCTGATGCATACACGCCACTCTCATCATGCATTAACGAGGCATTGAAGAAGATCTGACTTGTCAAGTTGCCTTGACTGTCATACTCTGGCTGAAGAGGGGGTAGCATAATGTAGTCTGCCAACTGCGTACGCATTTCAACAGAGAGTTGCACAGCAAGGCGTAATACCTCGTCGAGCTCCTCGCGCAGTCGAGGCTTATATGGACTCCTTTCCGATAGTATAGACATCAGTGTATCGATAATAGTAATTGAAATAGCTTGAATATCACGTTCTTGCTGCTGCTTCAACTCAGTATCCTGGGATAATAAAGTCAACGTCGTGGCCCGCCAGCGATGGACTGCTTCTTGTGGCAGAGTCTGCCCTAATTCTTTCTCTAGCCGCTTGATTCCTGAGCGTATTGGCCGTTCCAAGCCGAACAGATATCGCGTAAATATGAATTCCCAGATCAAAGTCATCGTAACGGACATGAATATATTTCGCCGGTGAATAGGGTCAGCAAGAAGCGCATCAACGTCAGATCCGTTCAGTATGGCATCGCGGAATCGACCACGATTATTTGCGGGATGCGGGTTACCGAGTGAGCGACATAACACATCACTAAAGGGTTCCAAAAAGTCGGAAACCCAGTCGAAACACAACCGAAAGAGCATGTCCACTGAATCGTGAAAATGGTTTCCCTTATAAAGGACAAGAGGGGTACTCGGCAATTCACCTGCGGCAGTAATATCCTGTGGGAGACTGAATTGGCTAGGAACCATCTGAGAAAATGAAAAGAATCCAGCAGCTACTGCTCCGGCGTTTATGGCAGCTTCAGCCTTCTGAGCTCTGGGGAGCGGAGTTGCATCGAGATCAATATATCGTGACAGATCGTGTGACAGGAGCCTTTCCTCGGCCCCTGATGATGACAGGAGGTCCGGGGTTGTAGACTCATCATCAGAATCTGTAGGTCCTGTGAGTGATAATGATGGAAGATTATGCGATGCAGAATCCTGGTGTTCATCCTCTCCATCTGTGGAGGGTTCGCTATCAGATGGGGCTGGCAGTGGCGGTCGAACGGCCGAAGAGTCATCATCATCAGAATCTGTAGGTACAGTGAGTGACAATGATGGAAGATGATGGGATTGAGAGTCTCGGCCTTCTTCTTCTTCGTCCACAGGCAGATCGTTATCAAGGCTTGCTGGCGATGGTGGCGTTTGAAAGGGTGCCGTTGCAGGATGTTCGTTCTCGATGCTAGCTAAAAACACGCCCATCATATTCTTGCTACCACTCGGATCTTCCAAAAGACAGTGAATCTTGTCTTCTGTCAATTGGTTCTTTTCTGTTGGCTCCTCGTCGTATTCCTTGATAGGCAGATAGTCCAGAAGACTCCCTGGCTCAGATGACTCAATAGATCCTGATCCCACACTCCCAGTATCTTCCGATATTCCTGTATCTTCCGATTTTGCTGTATCAAAATACGGATGATCTTCATAATAGCCTCCATATGAGTCCCCATTAGACTCAGAGTCTCCTGGCGCCCATGGTAAGGATCTGAGCGAGAATGAATGCAGGTGCTCGGCAACATGGTTCAAAACGGCATCGGCATCCAGGTCTGTCGGCCCACAGAGCGGACATGATCCAATTGTGAATGGTGTTTTCCGGCGCCAGGCTGAGACCAACATCTGTATGTGCTGGGGTTTGATGCCCGCTGAGTGCGTTTGATCTAAGTGTTCAGTAAATGCCGATTCTTCGTGAAACGTTGGTCGCTCGCTCGAGTCATTGCAGGCGAGGCAAACCCAATGGGGAAAGCCGCCATGGTCTGTGAACATGTGCGACAGCCAGAGATCCTTGGTATGGTAATTTCTTTCGGGGCGAGGACAATCTTCGAGAATACATGTGTAGGGAAGAATATCTCTGGAGAGATGTTTTCTGGATGGCGATATGATTAGCATTCATCCTGATGCTCATGGAATCAATACATACTTCCACTGACTCCCTCTGCTCATGGAAGCTGGCAATGTCTGGCAACAGCACGGACATTGGAAGACATTTTGATCGGGTCTCAGTTGGGGAGGCTTGGGATACGTCACACGAGAGCTGATTGCAGATATGATAGTAGTCGCTGGTTGGGCACTATCTCGGGTCGGAAACGGGACTGGATCTTGTACTTCGGTTGCAGTCGTTGTGCTATACACTGTGGGAAGTTTAGGCTCGTCCGTTGACCTTGCGATGGGATTGAGAATGAGTGGCTGTGGCGTTTTTCGAGAAGTGGGTATTGACTTTGCTGGGGCGGGTTCCCTGTCGGACAGCTTGATTGCGTGACGCTGAGCATACAAGAATCGGTTTCTCCGCTTCAGGTTTGCCTCAAGGAGTCGTCGCTGGATAACAGTCAAAGACCGCGGCTCAGACACTATAGTGCCATCTATGGACGAGACTAATAACACTCCGTGCGAAGAAGTCTCTGCCTGTAGAGTTCCATTATATCTGGGTCTTGACAGTAACAGCAGCTGCAGATGGTTTCTCAAAGCCTTGACCTGCGGATGGCCGGGGTCGAAAGAAGAATCGGCCTTTTGAAATCGTGCATTGATGCCAGCCTTGCGAATGGAAGTCATGATTCGACTCAATTGGCCTATAATGGATTTCACATCCTGCATGGCTTGATCCAACCCATCGCCGTGCCCGTCTGCTCCTAGTAAGAAGTCACCCCTGATCCTTTCTGCTCAAAGGGATGTTTTGGCTATACCTGTCTCAACGCACCCCTCTATAAAGGCTTGCAGCATTCCTAATAGATTTACCACGAAAACCTTTGCGTCCGGATTCGAGGTCAGCCTAGAATCAAGAGATGCCTTTCCGACTTTCAAGGCCCCGGCTCCATTTGCCCACAGCTTCAAGTCGGCTAAACAATTCTCTGCCCATTCTTGGAGAGCAGGAACAGCAGCCGAGTCTCGAAGGACCTGGCAACAGGCCAGGGTGGCCTCATAGATGGAAGTCTGGTCTGCCATAACTTGGGGACTTTAAATGGGGGCTTTTCGACCAACACCACTGATGGCTCTGCTTTCTCCATTCGGGCTTAGCTCAACACGTGCTGGCTAATTACCCCGCACCCGCTGACTGTTTCAACAAAACATCCTCGCTCTTATGTCGCACAAATACAGCTCTATCATGCCTCATGGACGAGGACGATGTATTGGACTTGGGCTGTGATGTTCTGCAGTCGGTCATCGACCAAGTCATTCTCATAGGGAAACAGACGCGTAATAACGCTTACGCCACGTTGGGATGTGAGCTGTTTGTTCTATCTCAGCAGATCCCAGCTATCAGCGAGACAACCCTTGCGCGACAAAGATTGTTGAAGATATTCAAGATTATAGCTAAAGCGTGCTCAGTGGGTCTTCCCACACTCGAAAACCTGACGTTGTGCACTAACCCACCACTCAGAAGTCGCGGAATGAAGCCGATCGCTTTCAGGCTCTGGGCAGAATCCGCAGTTATAAATTTTTTACGAGCAATATTGAACAGACTGTGATCAGAGAGACACAGGAAAGCCTGACACATTTTGTCCGACACAGCCCAGAATACAATGCTCTCTTGCGACTAATTTCCGACTGTTCCACGGTGGACGAGACGGAGCCGCTATATACGGAGGAATACCAGGACGATAACGATATCGGATACTCAGGGTACCTGAACCAAGTCCTCTACACTCAGTTACAGACCTACGCCAAATGTGGCTGCCGCACTGTTCACTTGGAGTCGACTCGACTGCGACTGAGTACTGACAATCAAATCTGTGACGATGATGTTTCCTTTGAGCTCGCCTTCAAGGCCAGCCCTTTCCCACCTACGAACTCTCCATCATTTGTGCAGTGGAAGGCGTCGATTGTGAAAGTCCCAAGGTGAGACAAAAGGCTCGGTTGGCAGTAAACACAACTAACGGCCGAGACCGAGTTGCGCAGACAGACTGATATCCAGAAGAGCAAGAAGAAGGTTGGGTTTGCATCCCCATATCGTGATTTAGTATCGCCGAAACGCAATAGCTCGCTCTTATCCCAGAGATTGAGACCGCTAGAGCGGGGGGAATTCTGCAAGTTGATCGACAATCGCATTGGCTGGCCCGTTCAGTTTTGTATTCAATCAAACGTGCTGCAAGTGATCGAACCACCTGATCCTAAGCCCAGCCGTCGCATTTGCCCCTTTGAAGGACTTTCACTAGGGAAATGGCTTGGACAAATACCTCATCTCTCGAATAAGAGAAAGTCTCACCTAGCCTACACCGTTGCCAAGTCCGTCTGGCAGTATTACAATTCACCGTGGATGATGGTGCCCTGGAATCACGAGAGCATTCAACTGCTAATTGAAGAAACTGGCCTGGCAGATCAGGGAAGACCACATCCATATCTGACAGCAAACATGGCCCGAGCGGTGGTTACTTCTACGGATTGCTATAATGCCGATAATCTCATGCACCAATACCCATACATTCTAGCATTAGGGGTTCTTCTTATCGAGATTGCCATCAAGCAGCCCTTGACAAGTGAAGAATGCCCTCATCCCTTCTGTGAAACTGTGGTTAACGACTACTATACATGGGCGTGGACAACGGCACACAGAAGCAATTGGAAGGACACGGTGCATTATATGTACGATGAGGCTGTTAATAACTGTCTCAACCCTGAGCTATTTGGTGGCGTCTCGATACAACAGTACGGAGATATGCAGCAGGTACTGGCCCGACAGAACGTTTTATACGAGAAGATTGTTTTGCCATTGAAGAGATTGTCTGAAGTCTATCAAGATGACAGGGGTATTCAGAGCGCTCCTACCGCGAAAATGCTGGGGACAGTCGCTCACCATGTCATTTCAAAGACTTTCATTGCCTCACAATTCCCCCATCAAGCAAATTTTACGGTCGCAATATTCTGTGCTTTGCCGCTAGAGGTTAATGCTGTCAGTGCTCTGTTTGATGAAAGATTTGAAGACTTCAGCCTGTATCGAAATTCACCGGGAGACTCGAACACGTACACACTCGGTCGAATGGGTCGCCATAACACCGCATTGGTACATCTTCCGGGAATGGGAAAAAGTGCTGCGTCTCAAGCATCCTCTTCAATACGGTCAACCTATCCGAACATAAAGCTCGCCCTGGTGGTCGGAATCTGTGGTGGGGTTCCATATGGAAAGGAGAGCAAGGAGATCCTCCTCGGAGATGTGATAGTCAGTGATGGGATTATCCAGCATGATTTCGGGCGAAGGATTCCTGGGGCATTTCTGCCTAAAGCGTCGGTTGCCGATGGGTTGGGGCGGCCCAACGTCACTATAAGAGGTTTCCTTTCGAAGATAAAGACAATCATGGTACAACAGCGTGTTTCGAACAAAGTGAAGGAATATATGGGAGTTATAACTCAGACGCTTGGCAATGACACTGCTCGATATCCAGGAGTGGAACAAGACGAACTCTACGAGCCAAGCTATCAGCATAAACACCGTAGCAGCACCAGCTGCATCAGATGCGCAGACTCGACCAACACTACGGTCTGCGGCGAGGTGTTTGATCTACCATGTCATGAATTGGGATGCGGGAAAGAATACCTTGTCAAACGGAAGCGTCTTCAGGCTGCACTTACACAGGGGCATACTCCGGCAATCCACCTAGGTCTCATTGCATCGGGGGATACTGTCATGAAGTCTGGACAAGACAGAGACCTCATCGCCATGCGTGAAAATGTGATAGCGTTTGAAATGGAGGGTGCAGGGGTCTGGGATAGTCTGCCTTGTCTAGTGGTGAAGGGTGTTTGTGACTATGCCGACAGCCATAAGAATAAAGTATGGCAACCGTATGCTGCAGCGACAGGAGCGGCCTGCATGAAAGCTTTACTCGACGAGTGGACATTTTGATTTAGTCAAAGCATGTATTATAAACCACCAAGCCTACATAAATGATTGCTGTACTCAGATCATAACAGCCTTTCACTCTCTGGTGTTCGGGATATAGTACTAGTATTGGAGACCAATGATCTAGCTGGGAAAACCGGAGGATCTGATCAAGGAGGCTCTTATGCATACTTCCGCAAAAGCAAGTATTGATGCAGACTATTGGTTTCCTGCGGCCGTTCGGGGCTTATCTGCGGGAATTAGTGCTAGGCAGCTACGCCGGGCTACCCACGGACCCCGGTGCAACTTGACTCCTCACTCTCTGCATCTTCGTTCATCTCACTTCCTCCCACATCCCATCTCTCATTGCCTTTAACCCAGAGCCAAGCAGACTCCAGCGCAATGGTCCTCCGCCAGGAAAGCAATCCGCTCACTGCAGAATTCGACGCTCTCGTCGACAAATTGCTTGGAGAATGGCACATTCCAGGCCTGACCGTATCGGTAGTGCACGGTTCCAGCACCTACGCAAAGGTACCACCACCGTCCAAATTGCCATTGACCTAAGAACTACACTAACAATGAACTGAGGCCTACGGTTACGCCTCCTTTCCCTCCACACCCATGACCACCACCTCTCTCTTCACAACCTGCAGCACAACCAAAGCCTTCACCGCCGCCGCAATGTCTTTAGCGATCGACGATAGCCAGTCCACTCCGCACCCAATCTCCTGGTCTACGCCCGTCTCTTCCATCATCCGTGACGACTTTGTTCTTTCTACTCCTTCTGCTACCACTAACACTACAATTGAAGACATCTTATCGCATCGGAGTGGGCTCCCAGGCCACTTCTTTTCCATCAACCTCGCCCGTCCGAATGAGACTTTGCGCACCGAGGTCCGCAGGCTTCGATGGCTACCACTGGCCTTTCCGCCACGAACCACTTTCAACTACAACAATCATATGTTCATGGCTGCCACATATTTGTTGGAATACATAAACGGGGAGAGCCTCGGAACGACACTGAAAAGAAGAATCTGGGACCCACTCGACATGAACGATACATACTTCTCCACTGCCGAAGTGCAAAAGCACCCGAACCTGTCAAAGAGACTAGTCAAGGGCTACACCTGGAACCCGGAAACACACACCTATTACGAAGAGCAATATATCAACTATGCTCCAATCACCGGAACTGGTTCAATGGTTTCTAACGTAATGGATTACGCAAAGTGGCTGCGCGCTATGCTCTACCAGGCACCGCCTATCTCGAAAGAGGGGCACACAGCACTTCGTATACCCAGGGCAGTCATTGCTGAGTCTGATTGGAAAAATATGCTCGCTCCGCCGGGTGCATACCATCTCTATACAATGGGGTGGTTTATAGACTACTACCATGGAGAACAGTTGTACTGGCACACGGGTAGCTGGGTCGGATTTGGGATAATGGTCGGATTTTTGCCTGCAAAGGGCTTTGCATTTGCTATGATGGGAAATACCCAGAACGCGAGGATTGCAGAGTTAGATTTGTTCTTGTACCTCATCGATCAGCTGCTGGGGAAGAGCGGAGCCGAAAGAGAGACCCATGTGAGGAAGCTAGGGGAGAAGCTTAAGGAGATGGAACGGATGTACAACGAAAGTGTCGAAAGTGTGGTAGCACGGTTGTATCCGGACCTGAAAACGAGGTTACCACTTTCGTTGTCGCTGGGAGCATATACAGGGACATATGCGCATCCTGGATATGGGGAGTTTGAGGTGTGTGAGAAGAGCGGCAAGTTGATTGTTGATTTGAGAGACCGTGTGGGGAGCTGCAGTATGCGGTTTGAGCATGTCAGTAAAGAATTCTTCGTCGTCAAGTACTATAATCCTGAGGCCGAGGCTGTGGGACCAGACTATACGAAGGCCGAGTTTTATGTTGACGAGCAGGGAGTAGCGAAGAGCTTGGGATTAGATCTGGAGTCCGTTTTGGGGGAAAAGATCTGGTTTCAAAGGATGGAGTGAGCTGTGATAATCATAGCTACTAGCAACAGTGCAGGCCATTTCCAGATACAAGATATCGGGCAAGTATTAGGGTTGAACATCAATGACCATCCAACTAGGACTCAAACATTTCCCAAAGCAGTAAATGATAACGATAATATGTTCTTCCAATTTATAATATTCCAAGCAGGACTCTTCATACACACATAAATCGTCGATGCCAATCATAACAAAGTGGACGACCCAAAGCCGATTTCATATCCATCCATTAATCACACCGATACACACTCACCATCCATCCAACCCACTCCTATCCCACACACCCAGAACAAAGTCCACCTAGTACCCCCTCCACCTCCCAACATGCACCCCACCCCTCTTCGCCAACTCCCTATCAAACTCACTCTCCCCACCGGTGGCATTAACAATCCTATTCAACATCGTTCTCAAATCATCAAAGGTGATATTCTCCTTCGCACGAGTCCACCCTAAATCCAGCGGAAGACGTTCATTCTCTGCAATACATTAGCCAACCATGAACTCTCCACCACTACTTCAACCCAACGAAGGGTCTAACTCACCAAAAAGATACTCCACCCTCGACCGATTCACCAACCCATTCTCCTTATCCCCAAGAACAATAATATACGCCGCCGTCTCCCCATAACTGAACGACGCACCCAGCTCGGACATGGTATAATTCGGATTCGTAGCCATAGAGGTATTCACACGTGCTTGGCGAGACAGAGCAGCCTGCTTCACGTCGATGATAGGGGAGGTCCAGTATGAGCGGGTTTCGTCGAAGATGGTTTGATTGAAGTCGTGGTTGTCGCCGAAGTAGGCGTCTTGGCGGCTATACCATAATACATACTGGGTTAGATGGATGGAGTGGTGGGATTGGGGAGGGACATACCTCAAGCTGGCGTCATGCTCGAGGATATCATGACGGCTTAGATCATTCAAGGAGAAGGTAGTAGCGTTGGGGGTTGGGTTGGTGGTTACTGCTTCTTGGTGGAGGAATGCGGAGAGTTCTGCGTCGATGCCGAGGGCGTTGTAGAGGGCGTTGATTGTGTGTTGCTCGGTGATGTTTTTGCCGTTGTGCGGGAGGTAGCCGTGGTTGGCGAGGGTGTTGAGCATTGGGCAGGGGGCGCGTACTTTCGGTTCTGTTAGTTGTTTGATTATGTGGGTAGGCTAAATAGGGTGCTTACCATCGTTAGGGCCAGGAGGGGACCATGGTAGTGGATGCGGTGCTGCTCCTTGTGATGGGAATGCTTGCGTTTGGGTAAGACCTGCCGCGAGAAATAGTAGGGTTGCTGTCTTCATGATGGCGGTAGTTGTAATAGAGAGCTAAATTTGTTATTCTGGGACTGTATTCAGGATGAGGGGTCGATAGATTTTATATTCGGATGTAGGCCTAGAGCTCAGCCATCTACATTACAAATGCCGGAATATTACTTGCCAGCGTCATCTGGAAGGAATTACGCCCGCGTTTATTTTTATAAATGTGGAGTAGCAGTTGTAGCCAGTCATGCGTGAAAATGGAGCAAGTTTCAGATGGCTCCGATCTGGTTGAGGGCACGCTAACAGCCCTGAATAGGCTGGGCAAGTTGCCAGCCCTTTTGGACTGGTTGTATACGAGCACAGCGGTGGCACCGTTGGCAGTCACCATGTATGTGATGCATCAAGTGTACGATGATTGGCTACACTGGCAGCTTTGGAATGCTCCGCGCAGCAAAACCCGCTGTACCCGTGGACAGCGATTTAGGACGCCTGATGCCAAGAGCTTGCTGTGATGTAATCACTCGTCCAAAGCAGTGCTGCAGCATACTTGGTGGCTGTCAACACCACAATAGCGGGGTTGCATTCCTACATACCTGCATGTCTAAAATTGTAACAATCTGCTGCCTAAATAACGTCCCGTGGGAACATGAAAGCCTGCGTAGGATTCAGGCGGTCATATTCTGTTTTGATATTAGTGACAGCTGATAGGAGGATGATGCGGTGTTTGGATCTTGGCATTTTGGCAAACAAGAGTTGGAACGAGCTCCACTGCTAAGGCATCAGGATAATGTGATTGATCGGAGGCCTATTCTATTCGCGACGGGTAAGGGTATGAATCCTACGGGAGGCATAAGCCGCCCCGTGCCAAGGGATCTGCAGCCGAGCCCCAGGCGCGGTCTGCATTGGGTTTAGTGGCATCTTAACGGATACGATCGGCTCAATTAGGAAAGGGACTTGCTGTTTCGGGGCGGTGATTACGGATACGTCGAGAGTAGCAAAATTGACTGTCGAAGTGTGTATGGGATATATCTTCATACTGGAGGGGTAATATCTACCACTTTTTAAGAATGTGAGCTGTGACTGAATGTCAGCAGCTGTACCACAATTACCTTCAAGGTAATCAAGCCAAAAGTAGCTCCGTATAAATAACGGGTGATGGCAAAGCGTCCAGTCGGAAATTAATTGCTTCTTTCAACAACTTTTTGACAGTATTCGCCACTACTGCATCAATCTCTCTTCTAGCCCTAGGAAGTAACTCAATTCGGACCTCTCAATTACTCTAATACCTTCCTCTCCTACAACCATGAGTGTATCAGGCCATGGAAGCTGAACAATTCTAATAGGGCAGCGAAACTTGCAATGCATGTGGATGGTATCTTTATATATACGGTCATATGTTCTCACTCGCAGCAACCTCAACGATAGTATTCCTCCTTGGTACCTCTATATCCGGCCATGTTGTCCGAATGGTCACGGTGTCTTTTCTCCCTTCGTGGTGTTGTGTTTGTTACTGATCCCAATTTATCTCATCCGAAGTCTTTGTTGATAATTCGGTGCCCATGGTCAGTGAACACACGTTAGCCCTGGAGGACCTTGAGGAGAAAGTCAGGGAATAAGTTGGAGCTGATGGGAAGGACATAATTGAGCGAGAGAAGGGTATGGGGTTGACGATAGTCACTGCTTGGGTTGCGGTTTGGGGGATACATTCAAGGTAAACTATTACTATGATGGCTCTGCACTAGGATGACTGTGTCTTCTTGGTTGCACAATCATCCAGGCCAAAGATGGTCTCCATCGGCCATTGTAGCCACCGACGATCCTCCCTACCCAAGCATTCCTCAATGCCCCCGATGATATGTTCAGCCCACCCTCGAGCAAACCACACCTCATCATGGATCTTCATAATCACCAGGAAATAAGCCAGCAGTACCAATGCCACTGGCTCTCTCCTCTGGAAATCACTCAGTCCAGGATCAAAGCAACAGATCCAGTCATAAACCATCATCGCCAGCCTGCCAATCGTACATCCTGCATCGTGTCCTTCCCCGCACATCTCACTGAACATCCGCTCCAACATAGCGATCGCATTAACATAACAGTGCTTCATCGTCCAGCCATTCACCTCGCCCTGCTTTTCGCTTTGAAGAATCACCCACTGTCTCAACCTCTCTAGCGTTCTCTGGTATTCAATTCCGGACGCCTTGCCTCCCCCACAAATTTGCGATGAACAACAGTTCTCTACTCGAGACTTGAGATCCTTCGATATCCCACAAAGCGTCCTCACACCTCTCACCAAAGAAGGCCACTCCGCCATGTTTTCATGATGATCACCAATGGTGAAGAACAAATATTCCCCCGGTCGGGGACCCCGCGCCATAGGCAAAAAACATAGAATCGTAGCGCCCACCCACGCAGGACGGATGTTTCCGGGGTTTATATCCCCGACGAGGGATGCGATCCCACGTAACCCTACAGAAAGATGCATATCTGCTCTATCCACGAGCCAGGACTCATTTCCCTTTGGATCAGGAAGTGTGCCGTGGGAGGTATTTCTGGCTCTGTGTAGACCAGCTAGCGCGAGGATGAGATGCAGAATGAAGGGATGCGTGATTGCCAATTTAGGGGCTTCATCACGCCAGAAGTGGAGACTGCCGTCATCCTCGGCGAGAGTGTAACAGGTTGAGGTAAGATAGTGGTGGTGGAGGGTGAAGTCCTGGAGATCAAATGTTGTAGGAGTGGAACTGGGCTTGGACGAGAGTAGAGAGGCAGATAGGGAAGTGGATGATGATGGAGGAGGGGATTGAGTGCCAGTTAAACTCAAGGTCATCGAACTGGAAATAGAGTCGGGACTTGGGCGTTTCAATGTGCCCTGATACTCCGATGGGACAAAGATCCAGTTGGAAAGACGCTCCGACCTTCCCGATAATTCAGATTGAACGGGTCTTGCAGATGGCGGTGGTCGGCTTGGGTCCGTTGAGAGAGAGTAATCGCAAATGACAGAGTGGTTCATGCAATTGGAACATTGTGGCCACAATTCATCACACTGAATCAGTCGTTAGCATAAAATCACTCACTAGAATGGAGAATCCGGGATCGGAAGGCCGCGGAAAAACCTTAATGTGTCGTCGTTTGCAGGTGCTGCAGCCTAATCGCGACTTCTGGTGCGACCGACGCGAGTGCTTGCGCTGGGTCAGCTTGCTTATTGTCATTGATGCTGGATCGCTCTTTGTCATTGTTGTTGAGCTGAACATGGTGCTGGTTGGGATTGGAGGATATATCGATGAAAGCACCTTAGGCAGCTCTAAGGGCTGCTCCAGCCCGGTGGCTGTGCCAAGGAATCAATCTTGGCTCGTCTGATGGCCCACACCTTGGTCCTGAGCAACATATTGGGACCATTCTCGAAGCTGGATGCTTTATATGGTGGCTAGGATATAGCTAATTATGGTAATTCTAGCGCTTGCAATATCTGCAAGACTTCTTTCTGATATCCAGCCATCTTATATTCAGATCGATCAACGGCTTTCGGGAGCCCGCGGAGTGTAAATCGACCTGATCCGCACCAATCAGCGCACTGAATTACTTCGCATACCCGAGATACTAGATTCCAGCTTAGCGACGACTTGGTTCAGGCACACTACCAGTTCTTGTGCTGCCCAGCATATCGTTCAGGAAGGACGTAGGTGGGTGAATGTAGGAACCTGCTATCGTAAGCTAGTTCAACTCATTGCTGGGAGCACTGTTCCGTGACCGGCGATTAAAACGGCAAACCACATAATCTGAATACAATACACATGGGCCTGCAAAGCTGAAGCGGTGACATTACACAAAGAATTGAGACAGTCTTGTGGCCTTACCAATCCTTGTGCTCTTTTACTTGCTCTGGAGCTATAATATACCATTGTTTCACAACTTGAGGGTAATGGGTGAGCCCTGACAGTATCCCCCACAAGCTTTATGTACATCACATCAGCCAATTTTCTGGGGAGAGTACATCACCATTGGATTATACTACTCCTAGAGGATCAAATGGATAATGGCAAGTGCCAATAAGTTCCAGGGAATTCAGAGTACTGCAACTGCCTGGTATACCGGTGCATAGAAGTACGTTGACGGAGGATGTGCGATATGAAATCGGGCTCGCTTCCAAGAAGCTTAGCTGCAGTGCTGAGGGGGTAGCGTAGAAAGTCCTGTCAAATGAGCTTACCTTTCCCATTTTGTCCCAGTTGGTCAGAGATTGGGCCAACATCTCTGCTGCTGCCCTTACAGGACAGTGAGGCGTGGAAATTATTGCAGAAAATGGTCGGCCTGGATGAACCGAAGGAGTGAGTACGCCAATTGCACAGGCACGCGAAGATGAATGCTCAGCGAAAGTGCGTCGGTCAACCCATTCAGATTATTTCATTGAATGGGATACTCATGGGCCCCTCTGGTACCGGTAAAACTACGTTTGCCACCCTATATGGCCGAATATTAAGCGACTTGGGATTGCTACCTAGAGGCGGTAGTAAGCACTACACAAGCCACAGCCACTGACCTTATGAAGAAAGTAAAATATGTGCTCATCTATGGCAATGATTTAGTAATCCAGAAAACCGGGTCCGGGCTCATCGGTAAGGATATCGGAGAGACGGAGGAACGGGTTCGAAACGCCTTTCATGAAGCCGAAGGGAATGTCCTGATCATCGACGATGCCTATGCCCTGTGGGGTGAAGGGAAGAACCTGAATCCGTTCCACAAAGCGGCTATTGACACCTTGGTAAAGTGTGTCTCGGAAAATCGGACATCATATCAGTGTATTTTGCTCGTTGGTTATGAGTACGAACTGAGACAGATGTTTCGACATGTCAATTCCGGTCTGTCCAGCAAATTTCCACTGAAATCTTCATTTCGGTTCAAAGAACATTCCTCAGCGCAACTGGACCAGATTATGAATGTTCGCATGAAAGAGGCTCGGGTTTCTTGCTTTCCTGAGGCAAGCGAGGTAGCAATTGAGATGATACGACACGCCATGGTATCCCCCTGCTTTGCCAACGCTCGTCACGTTGAGCAGATTGTAGAAAATGCACTGTTATCTTGCCAAAGACGCTATTTGTCGACTCCAGTGCGGATCCAACAATTTTGACTGCGGAAGACTTCTCCAAAGACTGGAACCGGGTTCTCGATGTGGAAGAGAAATAACGAAAGCTATGCTCCAATGCAATAGGCTGCGACTTTATTGTTGAACAGCTATTAGATGACATACGAATCGCCAAAAGAACTAGCGTAGGGAATCTCGACTTCAGAGAACGTACCCCGTTCAATTATATTTTCCGAGGAGCACCAGGTATGCAATCTGCATCATGAAGACCACGTCAGGTGCTAATGCCCTATAGGTACCGGTAAAGCTTCGACTGCACGGCGAATGGGCGAGATATTCTATCACATGGGTATTCTCGCTACGCCTAAAGTAGTAGAATGCTCGATCACCGATCTTGCTGGAGAATATCTAGGCCACACAAGGCCTAGTGACCTTGACCTCTTTGACCGGGCCTTGGGGAAGATCATACTCATAGACAAAGCTCATCTCCTCGTTGAGAACTATCCATTCTCGAAAGAAGTAGTGGCAGAGATAGTGGGCGCTATGACAAACGCACGGTTTGAGCATAACATGTTCATCATTCTGGCTGGGTATGGCCATGGAATATATTTATTGCTGGCGTCTAATCCAGGTCTACAAAGTCGTTTCAAACGCGTCATGACATTTGACAGTTTGATCGGGGAGCAGGTAACAGACTGCTTATTCAGACACTCAACGGTAAAAGTCTCTTGGACACGTCGCTGATCGGGGTGTTGGATTATGAAGTACACCAAGGACTATGCGATCTCTTCACGTCGTTGTAGGAGAGGTGCTGCATTTCCACCATCAATATGGCCTAAACATTATTGCTGCCTTCACTCAAGCAGTCCGCATTCAGGGCAGTATTCTCGGCGGTTACTACACCAGCATTCTCATCTATCGCGGATTTTTTCATCCCTCAACAGCTTTCCAGGCCCCTTCGGCTGTAGTATCACCAGTCTATCTCTCCCAGTAATTCTCCGACACAGCGATGCATTTCGGCGGGTGCAGAGCCTACATCAGCAGTACGGTCCGTTTGTTCGTCCTCGTCCCAACTACCTGTCTATCGCACACTCCAAGGCTGTAAATGTAATATATGGACCGGGGTCCCGGTGTACTAAAGCAGATTGATACGACATTAGCTATCCTATGGTGTCGCTACAGACTATGCGTGACAAGAAATCCCACGAAGAGCGACGCCGCGTTTGGAGTGCCGCATTCGGGGATAAGGCAGTTCGCGGCTACGAAGAGCGATTGCGTCGCTACCTAAACGACCTGGTGGATTACTTCAGCTCGCAGGCTGCAGTTGGTAAGCCTGTCAATATCACCAAATGGTTTGAGCTATATAGCTACGACTTCATGGGTGACCTCACCTTCGGAGAGTCGTTCGGCATGCTCGAGGCACAGGAGGACCACTGGGCTATACACTTACTCAAACAGGCAATGATTCCTCTCGGTCTTTACTTGCCCACATGGTTCTTCCGCATTGTTACCTCGATTCCAGGGCTGTCGCGGGCTTGGCAGCGGTTGTTTGACTTTTGTGGCGAGAGGATGATGGAGCGAATCAAGGTTTGCTCCCCACAAATATGTCAGCTTCCAGCTTCATCTCACTCTGACAAGGCGTAGGCTCCAGCGGAAATTCCTGACATTGCTTCGGTTCTTGTCGTGCCGATCAAGGGCCAGCAGCCCTCACGGGAGCAATGGGAACTATTATGAGGAGACGCACAGTTGGTTATACTAGCTGGCAGATTAGGAAGCACGATAGGTCTTGTAAATGTTCGAGAGCACTGACAACTTGGCAGTGATACAACAGCTACCATCCTCGCGGCCGCGATGTACCAATTGGTACAGCATCCAGAGCAGGTGCAGTGACTTCGTGATGAAGTTTCCCCGTACATACCAGAGCCGTCGCATGAGGTTTTGCATGACAAGATAGCCAACTTACCGCATCTCAACGCATTCATGAACGAGAATTTGCGGCTCCACCCGCCAGCCGCGGCTTCGTTGCAAAGGAAGACTCCACCAGAAGGAAACACCATCGAGGGGGTCTACATCTCGAGTAACATGACGGTTATGTGCCCGCAGTATGTGCTAGGCCGTGGTAGGTCCGAGCCCTCGTCCACTTATCATACATATGGCTAATTGCTTACTTGCTATAGATGAAGAAGTCTATGAGCGCCCGAAGGAATTCCTTCCCGAGCGCTGGTATCTACACTCAGAGATGGTGAAGCAGAGAGCCGCTTTTGCCCCGTTTTCGCTAGGTTAGGCGAGCCAGATCTCTTCACCCCTAGGGCGACCGATGCTGACCAACACCTCATTAGGCCCGTATGGGTTCATAGGCAAACCCCTGGCTTTGCTGACTCTCCGCAACACTTTGGTACGGCTGGTCACGATGTTTGATTTCGAGTTCGCACCGGGAGAGGATGGGACGGCCTTTGAGGGGAAAGAGAAAGATCGGTTTACAATGGGTTATGGAGATTTGCAGATACTCTTCCGGAAGAGAAGCGAAATAGGATCAAAAGTGAATATGGTGCGCGAATTTGGTCTAGTTGCAGCACTGCACGTACCAATGTATGGACCAATATATGTAATTTAATTTGAGGTGACTCCGCGTAAATGCACCACATATTCTTAAAGAGTGATGATATGGGATCCATCATTATCTACCCATTAGTACAATGCACTCATAATTAAATGAATTACTCCGATCGAGCGCCATATTGGGTGGTGAAGTTACTTGTGCGAAGAAGAGTTTGGAGCCCAGCGGGTATAATCAGCCCAGAATGGGTCTCGCTCGCTGTTAGGATATCGGTGAGCTTGCACTACCAAAATCCCATTAACTACTTAATGGTTCCATTCCGCAGTTTTAGTATTCCTGGATTTAGGTCACGCGGTATGACGCATGAATGTTCCCATCCAGGAACCTGAAGTTAAGGTTTGCCGCCTCCCCTGATAGTCATACAATGATGTAATGAGGCGTTCATCCCTGGAATAACAAGCAGCAGAGGAAGAGATGAAAGAAACGATAAACTAACATAGATATGGATTATTGAGAACAAATTCAACCGGCAGAGCTTTTGTTTAAGGGGTGCTGTGAGAGCGATCACCGTTAGATGCTTATCGATTTCGCATCTTGTTTACACTATAGTTTTACCAAACCGCGGAGATGTAACCCTTAAATTGACCGCTATAAGGCTAGAGGAAGTAAAGTCAAAACACGATTAGTACTTCAGCCACCATTTTAATACAATATGTAGGATATTGTAGCCGAGGGGTTATCGCTGCCCCGAAGACATATCATGTACCACTACTATCCTAGCACACGTAATATAAAGATCATATTTCCAGTATCCTTGTGACGCAGGATGTTGTGCTTGTAATGATATATAACTAGCATTATAATTACTGAGCTTGTAACAGCGAAGTCATCCTCCCAGCTTATATCTTGGAAGTGTCAGCTGCCCGGCCCTTGCGTCGATGATGACGGAAGCTTGACATATGTACATCCTTGGCGCATGAGCTTCAAAACATCTCATTTTCCCCAACTCAGACGAAATAATGTCTGCTATCAGAACAAACATTTTATCCATAGACTTCTTATCATCAACGGGGCTGGAATACACATATCCTCCATTGTCGGACGAAAAGACCTGGTAGATCATATATAAAGGGGGACGCTCGCCGGGTTAAAAGTAGTAGAGCCAAGATGCTATCGCGACAAGTCCGAGCAGCACTGCTTTATCCTCATCTTCCTACGTTTGGCATTTCAGGCCTGAGATTGCCGGTTGGAAAACCCTTGTGTCGCGTCGCAATATCGAACTTCAGACGGTCTATGGCCGGACAAGCCCACGTGAAAGAAAGGCTGCCTCGAAGTGAGAAATCCCATGAGCGATTCAGAGAGTTCTCGCTTGCTGGGAAAGTATTTGCAGTGACAGGTGGTGCAAGGGGGTTAGGGTTATCAATGGCCGAGGCATTGGTCGAAGCTGGCGGGCGAGGTGAGATGTTTGTTCTCTTCACTCATAATAGTTGTGCCCCCATGACTCACGTCAACGATACACAGTATACTGTCTTGACCGGCTTCCCCAACCAGAGGAAGAGTTCCACGCAGCAGAGGCGCGCGCAAATCCAGATTTTGGGGGCTCTTTGCACTATAGGCGCATGGACGTAACCGACGACGCAAACACGGAAGCGGTGATGGCCGACATCGCAGCACAAAATAACCGCCTAGATGGTCTCGTTGCAGCTGCGGGGATAAACTATGTTGCTAGTGCGATCGATCATACGCCTAAGAGTGTTGACGACGTGATCCACATCAATTATACGGGCGTCTTCCGCAGCGCCGTTTCAGCCGCGAAAGCCATGCTGAATATGAAGTGCCACGGCTCCATTCTCCTTGTGGCAAGTATGAGCGGCATCATTGCCAACAAGGGCATGGAGTCTGCCGTTTATAATTCCTCCAAGGCGGCAGTTATCCAGCTGACGCGGAGTCTGGCTATGGAGTGGTCTGAGGTCAAGAAAGATGGCACGGGCGGGATTCGTGTGAACTGTCTCTGTCCTGGGCATATTGAGACGCCAATGGCAAAGATGGTTATGGAGAAGGATCCGGATACTCGAGATCTGTGGACGTCTGAGAATATGATGAAGAGGCTAGCGAAGCCGGAGGAGTTTAGGGGAATCACTTTGTTGCTTATGAGCGATGCTTCTAGCTTCATGACTGGTAGTACTGTAGTTGTCGATGGTGGGCATACAGCTTGGTGAAGGCTTGTCTATATAGAAGTGGTTACCTTATACTCTGTTTTAGATCATTGCCATAATTATATTACCTTTCACTAGAAGAAGTGCAGTGCCCTCCCTGCAACACATCACACAATGTATCGGTCGACCCTCGGCGGCGTTTACTGATACCTGACTGACAAAGGGTATTTCTTCTCATTGACTCCAAGGTGGTGCATATGTCTTCTAATTCAGGCCAGCATTGTGGGAAGGTAGTAATCGATGTCAGGTAGTGGCTGGGGCTTCATTAATCCGTTCTCTTCAATGATTAGACTTTAATATTATATTAACAGCGAAAACATCGACTTCGAGGTGTTCAGGCAAGGCGCATCCGCGGCCATTCTATGGTTTGCCATACCGCTTTCACTTAACCGGATCAGATGGCATTGATTAGGTGACTAGGAATCTGTCAGATGGCAGGAATCAATTTGAAAAACTTGAAGATGGATTGCTATGCTATGGCTATAGATCACACCAAGAAGAACATTGAGCACAATAACTATGAAGAACTGTTTCACTTCCATACAAATCATCAAACCATGAAAACATCATAATCCAACATCTTGCATCATCTGACCGGCGCATCAAGTCCGGACTGCCCATTTTGATGTATCGCCGATGGGATCTCCAAGGAACCATTGCGCAAATGTTTTGAACCCTTCTGTGTTCAAATATTGAAAATCATAGGGTTCAGTGCGGCGTACTACCAGCTCCTGTCCATCAAAGTATGCCTCAATGACGCGTGGACGCCGTCGATTCAACGAAAATAGTAGAGCCTAGCAACATCATCAGTCCTTCATTTATCTGAAGACGAGGCAGTAAAGGATAGTGTTACCGGTGCAATCATATCATTTACAAAGATCTTCTGCTTCAGTTGGCCCAGCATAATGCGGATGACAGTTAACACCTCCCCACGGAGGAGGTAGTTGTCATCAGAGTCGAGGTTGTTGTGCATGATGCACTTGATATGCGGCCTTGAGGACTCTAAAACATGCCAGATCGCCAGCGATCCGAATTTAGGGTCGAAAGTTCGGTAGAGGTCTCCGAAATCATAATCTCCCACCCTGGCGGAATAATCAGCCGGGAAACCCAGTTACAGGATTGAAGACTTACTGCTTGCACGACCACGTCCGCCAAACCTCAGGATATTTGACCAGTAGCTTGTGGATATACGCGTCAAGGTAAAGGTAGATAGACCATCCCCATTCGCCTGGTGACAGCGTAGAAGATGTGTTGTACTCGTGGTCGACATACTCCGCCGTAGGTTCCGGCATGTTTTCTGGAACGAAAGGGGTAAAAAACTTGGGTGCGCGAGCGTCTTGAGCATTGAGACTTAGCGGTAATGCTCGGACTTTGTACCGTTTCATGATACCCTGATCAAGAACGTGGGTGTCTGTCTCTCTGAGTAATTTGATATCCCTTTCCATGAGGGCCAGGGCCTTGCGGAGATTGTAACGGTCTCTTGGCTCGGTGGCGCGATTCATGGTGATGAAATTAAACGAAGGCAGCGCAGCGCAGAGGAATGTGAAAATATTAGATTCACCGCAAAGAAATGAAGTATCTCGTTAATATCAAGAAAAATACCACTTTGGGATTTCCTTTGCGACTCGGCCAGGGGGGGAGGTAGGTCTTCCCCTTTCGCGCCGTTGCGGCCGCCGGGGCACAACTCGGGTGCTCCCGTGACATGCGCGAACTTGCTTTTTCAATTGTGAGTAGTATCGCGACTGCATTAACCCTTCTCTAACTATAACACTAGAACTCATACCTTTCAAGGAGTCTGGCTCCTAAAACTATCGATCAAATCTCTTATCACTTTGTATTCACCTACAATAAACAGCCAATGCCAAGACTGAGATGAGATAATTATCATTAACACGAACCAGTCGCTAATCAAGCCAAGTATGACTCTATAGTATTCTAACGAAACACCGCAAAACCATGCAATGGAACCCAACCCATTTCACAGAAAACAAAAGTGCAATTAAACCACTTCCTTAGCCTCCCCACCCGACTTCTTCTTCTCCTGCTCCTGCTTCCCCTTTCTAACATTCTTCCACCCCATGCCCCACACAAAGAAGAATTGAACCACACAAAGCGCCGCACACAGATAGAATACCTCGTCAATCGCCTTCGAATACGCAACTAGCACCGAGAGAAGGTCCTTGGCTGGAACGACATCCCGGAATCCAGTAGCGCCCGCTGAGATGACAGTCTCGGGGTTGACGCTCGGTGCGTACTCGGGGATCTTCTTTCTCAGGCCTGCGGTGAGAAGGACCTCAGCGACGGCGAGGAAGATAGAGCCGCCGAAGGTTTGACTGAATGTGAGGATTGCCATTGCGGGGGAGATCTGAGCGGGGGTTACGGCGTTTTGGATGGCGACCATGGGCTGGCATCATTTGTTAGTTGGGGGTTTCCAGTGGGCGATGGATGTGGGGGTGAACGTACTACTTGAGTAGCAGCGCCGCGTCCAAGACCTACTATGGCTTGGAAGCCGGCCCAATCTCGTGTCGAGGTGGTGGGGGAGAGCATTGACAGGAGACCAGTGCCGATGGAGGTCATGATGGAGCCAAAGATGGCCCATGGGAGATAGTATCCTAATCTGCCGGCTGGAGGGATGTTAGGGACCTGGTGTATAAATTAAGGAGGCGTAGATGCTGGCCACTTACTAAGGACACCCGAGAGCACTGCCATGACCAGCTGGCATAAAATATTTGGCAGCAAGTCAACACCGCTCATGAGGGCGGATTCGCCTCGCACGGACTGGAAGTAGATGGGTAGGTAGTACGCCATAACCATGGTCATTCCGAACATCATCGACATGGTCATGCAACTGCTCCAAACTATGCGCTGTTTTACTAACTGCCCCGGAATCATAGCATCATTACCCATGCGCCGCTCCCAGAGACCGAAGACGACAAACGTCGCAGCGGACCCGCAAAACAGACCGATGATGGTCGAACTCTTCCAGGGGTACCGACTGCCGCCCCATTGAAGAGCCAACAGCAGCTCAATAGCGGCGGGTGCGAACAGGACAAATCCGAAGAGGTCGAATTTCTTAAGAATCACCGACCGGAAGACTTCCGCAGCTCTGGGTTTGGCATGTTGTTCCGGAATGTTAGTGAAGATTAGAAGGATGCCAACTAGGGCACCAATCGGAAGATTAATGTAGAAGCCTGTTGTGGTTAGAATTAATTCTAGAAATGGACAAGGAGTAACACTTACACCAACGCCATGTCGAATATGAGGTGAATGCACCACCAATAAGCGGACCACATACTAGTCCCAGTTGAGAAACTGCTCCAGTGTCAGCACTTATCACTTGTAGCTGGGAGTGGAGTACTCACATCCCATCATAAAACCCATGAACATCGGTCGCTTATGCATAGGTAAGATGCTAGCCAAGATATTAAGCGCGCCGTTTACCATGCCCGAAGACCCCATTCCCGCCACAGCTCGTCCAACGATAAGCATCTTAGACGAGGTAGCGACACCGCAGATGAGAGAGCCTAGTTCGAAAACCGAGAAGAAGCCGAGGAAGGTCCATTTTTGAACAAAGTTGCCGTAGAATTTGCCAGTAAGAGGCTGTAGCGATGCGCTCGCAATGGTGTATGCGCTGCCGTACCAGGCGACATCATCAAGCGAATGGAATTGGTTCGTGATATGAGGAATAGCCTGAACCGTCAGTACTCTGTACCGTACCACAAAAGTTGCATCGATTACTGTTAGCAGTAAACTCACCGTAGACACGATAGACACATCTAATAACATCAGAAACACCACCAGCGTGACTGCCGTCATGACCATCAGAAGAGGGAGGCCCGTGAGCCACTTCTGCTCCTCGGGCTTTTCATCGGATTTTGGAACTGGCGCTTCTTCCAGTGGGGTGTGTACATCTTCACGTAGACTCTTGTCGTCTATGGCGACAGATTGCGCCTGTAACGTCGCTTCACTATGTTTTGCGCTCTCCATGGTGTAGGAAGGTTGATTTCGATACTGAGAAGAAAAACATCTTCAGCGATGGGTAGCAGCTACCCAAGGAGATAAATACCATGCAGAACTTTCGGGCTTTTCGAGACTAAATTCGGACTTAAGAAACTGATGATTGCGACGACACGGCGAGTCGGTGCTTACGGCCTCCGCGGGCCCTTAGTAGAAGCTTCTATTGGAACGTGGACCACGGGAAAAGTAAACCGCCCCCGTTTGTTTGCAGCCCTAAGAGCTAACTTCACAGCCATTGTCACAGCATGACTGGCAGCGTGGTGGGGGCCATGAATCCTCCTATTCGCCAGACCCGATACCTGATCGGAGGGCGTACTCCGTTCATCGTACATCGTACAGAATATTCCGTAGGAAAAGAAATAACGTGTGGTCTGAGTAAGTACTAGTGTCTGTTCGCCGTGGGCCAACCACGGCCCTTGGCACCGGAGATAAGAGGAAAGAATTGGAAGCAACCCTGATTCTTCCTGATCGGGTTCCGAGCGGGAATACACCCCCACTTTGCAACCGATGAGTCAATGACGATCAATAACTAAAACATTAATCTGATGGAACCCACACGAGGCTCTCTTTTGGAGTGGTAGGCATAATAGCCCCCCGTCTGAAATATCACTATGACACATAATCAACATTCGCATTGCATGTTGAAATGTGGCTGATGCGGTGAAAAAAAAGCCACAGGCGCATACATGACACATGGCCTGACGTTTTCCGCAATGAAGCCTTGCGAAGTAAATGGCCCCAAAAACATGCAACATGCTGTTCATGTCACGGCACCGCTAAAGCCACTTCTATTGTCTTGCTAATTTTCCGTTGCTTCCTTCCACGGTTCTGTATGAGGACTCAACTGAAACGAGTCGAGGCCGGGGCTCTATCTCCCCGAATGCCGAGAAAGCTTGAATGTCCGCGGGACGGAAACGGAAAATTGGTCGGCGGCTGATGGAACTCCACGTATTACCTCATGGACCTGTCAACTCTCCTGCTCGAGGTTAAAACTAGGACTAGCCTATGATTTGGGCAGGATACGGAAATTTAGGTGCATGACTTACTGGTAGGCTGATCCAATTCCAACACAGAAATGTATGACTCAGGCTACAGGCACAGGCCCGGTAGCGGCTACCATTAACGCCGGCTATTATAGCGACCGCGGAATCAGAGAAAGCCGAATAAGCGCATTGACCATGCCAAATAGAGGCAGGTTGAAAGGATCTGTGGTCCAGTCTCTCTCAGACGAATTTTAGAGTGCGTCGAGTTTTACACGAAGCTAGAGGTCGGCCTAGGTGGGCATAGCAGAGGTCGCTATCGAGCAACGGGCCGTGTAGATGGCAAGCAGGTATAAGCAATCCCAATGCAAAGTGACCATATTAGCAGGTATCATCTGTATATACTCTGTTGCTACTAATAGCCCTAGCGACTGATCTGCGCCCATCCTTTTGAAAAGTGCATAGACAAGCTTATCAATCTTATCGGTCATGCCTGCTGGGCCTTATATATATATATGATAATCTACAGCTGAATAGCATCTGCAGTGCTAGTAATTGATTAGCAGTTTTAGCATTTGCGAATAAATCCTTGGCGTCGCCTACCACTTGTAAATCTAACTTAATAGCCTCTACCTAAAAAGTATGGCTTTGAGGGAGCGAAAGACGCATCGTAAATTACATCTTGCCCTACTTCGGAGTCAAAATATTATACGGCTAACATGTTCACGGTCATCGTCCACGGAAAGTTGAGAGGACGACTTGGCAAGAAATGTACTCAGCATCTAGTCTCTATTTAATCCATACTGGATTTATAATCGTATATGGCGCTGTATTTCTGCGTCCAGTACACAGTATGTCATATCTAATTCAATGAGGGGAAGTAAATGCTCATAATTTACGAACAACCTTCTCTAAGCATCAATGAGCTATCGAACCTCGAATATGCCCCTACACATCCTCTCCGCTCAGCAATATTCTAAATCATACCAGAACCAATAGTTTTGAAACATCGACTTCTGGGCTTCATGGGCTTCCTCCCTCTCTGCTTCCGACCTTTTCTTGTACGCCAAGGCCTCGGACAAATCCATTGGCCAGGATCCTGTCTCATTCATTACCATATCAATCAATTCTTTGGGAAGGGCCGATAACAGGGTCGAGTTCGCCATTACGGCGTTGCGCCACCAGTCATGCTGTTGAGGGGGTACGTTCCGAGTTGAGCAGATCCGATAATGGGGATCAACCAACCACAAGACGACGCACCGTTGATGTCCTGGGCGACTTGGGTCAAGTAGAGAAAAAGGATGCTTCTTATAACGCAAGGTATTAGACCAAGCGAGAAGTCGACCGCTAGTGACTGCGACCGAGCCCAGTGTTTGAAGATTTAGAGCCTCTGGCTCCTCGCCAACTGCCGGGCAAGGAGGTGTACCGTAAAGTTTGTAGATGCACAAGGGATCCGGTTGGTGACCATGCAGACTCAAATCATCATTCTGTTGGTATGAGATGCGGGATTCGGCGATATTTTCCGAGCTATAGCAGAACTGGGCAGTGGCGACAATATGTTCGTTGAGCATGCCGTCCAAATGGAAATCTTGATCCCCGGGATAATGGGGTTCATTCGTTGTCAGGTCGATACTGAAGACCCGCACAATTACCTGCAGGCCCTGTTGCCGAAACTCATCTTCCAACGACACCGAGTAGTATTCATGATCGTGAGTCATCTCATACTCACCTTCCCACTCCCACGGACCGAAGATTGGGTTGGCGGTTTTACCCGCTTTCCAGTCTTCATACGTAAAGGAGATGCCTGCCTCGGGGTATGAGAACCGATGAAGTCGTCTCCACTTCGCCCTTACTATCCTCTCGACGCTCCGGGGAGATTCCCACATCTCCGGTGTCATGTAACCCAGAAGGTCTTGGGTCTCTGGTGGATCGTCGGGCTTTGGTGGGAAAACGCGATATTTCGGATCCACATCTGGTAGCCGAAGATATTCTTCTACCTTGTCACAATGCCTTTCCCAATCTTCTGACGCCCAGTCGTGTCGAGTTATTTTTTGATACGGCACGACTGGCAGTAGGTCCTTTGGCGGGTATTCTGCCCATGGGGGTACTTCACTATTTGAGACACCATATGTATAGATCCGCCGGGGCCTGCGACCTTGAAGTCCTTTTACCAGAACTTCATTCCAAGGAGCTATAGCCAGGGAGACAAGCTTTTCAATGGAAGCGTATGCCCTCGTGTTACTTGGGTGGAGGTTATTGATGTACGATGTTATCTGTACCGCCGTTCCCGAAGACTCGGTGAATTCAACGTCGCAAGGTAGCCATTGATAGCAGGAGGAGAATTGTCGGCATTTCGCTTCATCGCTCCAATGATGGAAAGCTTGGGGAAAGGGACCGAGTTTAGTCAGAGGATGATCTGGCACTGGTGCCGTCTGTCCCCGGTCAGAGGGAGGATACAGGTTAGAAGTCCCTTCAAGAGTAACCCGACCACCATGACTGAGTACTATGGTCCGACCATAGATAAGCATATGAAGTGACGGGTCTACCAGGTCATGAGCGCTACACTTAGGCAGTTGGCTAAGTGCGTCCTGAAGTTGATGCACTAGGGCCCCTGTCACGACTCGATCGACTTTACATACTCCAGAGTCCGAATTGAGGACAACAACATGACCGGTATCATGAAATGCTCTGGCCTTATCCTGTAACTCCGCAACGCACCAGAGCCATGTTCTCGTGGTAATCAGGTCCATGTCAACATCCCGATCCATATCGGAGTTACGGTCTGCGCAAAAGGCTCCCTGTGCACGCCATTTGGCGAGCGTATGTCTATCAAAGACTCCTTGGTCCCAGTTCTCAATATCGGTAATGCGCTCCATGAGACGCAACATATGAACCTCAGGTGCGGTCAGTCTAAAAGGTTTCCTTTCGCTATCCTCCCATGCCCCGTGCGTAAAGCGCTGGCCGATGTCGAACTCATACTCCAGGGGGATCCCGTCGAATTCCGGAACTCGAAGTGGGCCTGATCCACTGTTATCAAAGTGCAAAGGGGGGTTCATTTCGCTATTAAGGTGCACCAGGCGCTCTTATTTAGAGCGTCAGGCGTTCAATTTAACGGGCGCGGGGGCCCAATCTAACGTAGGTAAGGAAATTAATCAAAAGAGTGTTCGTATAAATGTGTAGGATGATGATGCTGCGAGATTCATGGTTGAAGGATACAGATGTAAGATGCCTCGAGTTCTATTTTCAAAAAGGGAAGGTGCCCGCACCAGGTTTGCCTAAGTCAAGTTTGTTGCTGGGTGCTGATTGTTGTTTGGGGAAGGAATAGCTCTGTAGGCTTATTTCCCGTTGCTTTAATCGGAGTCGGAAACGACCGACGGCATGAACAGGTGTTTCAAGCATGCACCGCTGCGATGGTGTCTCGGGGTTGTTTGTTTACGGAAGCCATAGTGGCTGACCCAATTCGGCATGAAGCAATTTCACCTCTGAGAGTGCGCTGGCACGATTTTCTTTTTAGGAATACTAGTAGGCCATCTAGTCCGCGCCTCACGACTTCCTTGTTAGGCAGAACCTCCGTGTTGATAAGGTCTAGGAGTGGACCGCTATACCGCATCCGCTTGAACGAATATACTCGACTAGATAAGACTGCTACCCCCAGGGTCTCATTTACGACCTACCAAGCATTTCGTGCTTTTATAGCTTTAAGCCTTCGGGGTACCGGCGCACTAGCGCCCCCGTCGCTCTCCCAACTTAATGGTAGGGTGTTCAGGTTTGCGATTTCTTTTCGCCGAAAATACTCCACGGTAATTCATATTGTTCCTTCGATGCCATCTGGTTCTGGGCTACCGAGCTGCTAGTAATTTCTCAGCAGCGGCAAAGTCACTGAGTACCAGAAGTACATCCGCGACGAGATTTCTGGCGTGTTGGAGGATTGCATGAACCCTGGGGGTGCTGAAAATGCCTTCTTCACGTGTACCTTTGCCCAAGATGGCGTGAACGCTTCCACAACCACATGTCCGTTGGGCGTGGACCAGCTTTACAACGACTATGGAATATGTTGAGGTTTGATTTGCTTAGTAAAGCAAGCAGCGAAACGAGCGCGAATTGTAGCAAAAGAGTGTGTTGAATTATAGCTATCTAGGTGATCTAGCGGTCAAGGGGAAGGGGTCGTTCCTGGGCGGCCTGACCGCCAGGCACGTGACTACGCCTACTCCAGCCATTGCCTCAACAGAATATACTACGACCTCATCAATGCTACTGCCTTCTAGGCCAACCTCACAGCCCCCACTGAAATCCAAAAGAACTGGGTGTAATTCGGCGACCAAGATGTCGAAACTAGTTGCGGCGTAGGATCTGGCAAGACATGCCAGCCTGATAAGGGTGTGCTGAAGGCTTACACTCTAACGGCTGATAACATCACCGTGACCAACCCACAGACGATCCTCGAGTATTCACTTCCAGGAATCTACAATCTGACTGAGACAATATACCTGACCCAGATACTGTCGACCACTGATGCATATGGAGGTAGCATGAACGATGTGCTTCTCACATCTCGACTGTCGTGTTCACGCTGGGTCAAGCGGCAGCAAACGTGGGCGACGTGGTCGAAGTTGCCGATAAGGCCTCGGCCGAGAAAAAGATGGCGATGGTTGAGGAGATTATCTTTGGCGTCTAAATGGTTGTCCCCTTTCTTGGCGAACCCACGTACATTTCGGACGATTTGGAACAATTGGCCGATATGATGTCGCTCTTCGGAGATGCAGGCGCATTGGGTAGTACAATCTATGGCGTTGCCACGGACCCAGATTCGGCAATCTTGGGATATATTCGAAATTGCCCTGATGGGCGGTTATCGGACCCCGGACGAGTTTGAAGAAGCTGCCGATGCCCGTCGCGCGCTGACTGATGATGAGATAAGTAGCCTGGGATCGGACTGGAAATCGTGGAGCGATGACCTCTTTGAGGTGAGGTCGGTGTGTTACTAAAAAGCCTAATGCAAGATAGCCTTACGCAATCTTGATTTTCCTTCATAGGACTTGTGTTATTACCATGTCAAACATGTATTACGAGAGCAGAAGATGGATGATTATAACGGTCTCATACAAGCGGCATGTAGACGCATGAAATTGTGTAGAGTTCAGGCTGTCTGCGTGGTTCACATTAGGGGATGCGCCTGACACTGGAGTCATGGCATGAGGAAGAATACTTGATAACGGAGATTTAAGACACAAGTAGAATTGAAGCTCATAAGACCATAGTTGATGAACCGTGCACGGGATCCACAAACCTAATGTCGGGCCTTCCCGATCCTGACTCATTCCGCTATCAGCACGTGATCATCCCCGAACTCAGCTCCCAATTACGGCATCAGTTGGCTCGCGACGGACCACGTCGAGCAATGCCCGGTTGTATAGCTCTCAGTGCCTAGTCAGAACGCGTTATCTGAGCTTCCTGGTGCTACCTAGCATTTGAAACAACAGACAGGTGCATCTCCATAGCGCAGTCGCGTTCCAGGTATCGAAACCCCCACGATCTCATTACTGCGGCGCGGGGTCAACCAAGTGATCGAGTGTTCTGCTTCAAAGGCGCATCATACGCAGTCTGCTCCCTCGGAGCTTATCGGTCTAAAAACCATGCCATCCTCGGCTCCGGTGCCCTCGACGGGCTTTCAGGCCCTCATTCTATGCGGCCCCGGCGTCTCTCTCAACACCTTCACATCGAACCCGGAGGAGTACCCGAAGAGTCTCATTCCTATAGCAAATAGGCCCATGGTGTTCTATCCAATCGACTTTTGCAAACGATCAGGCATTACAGGTACGTTTACCTTTAGCTAATAACATGTCCCCCTGTCTTCACTCGGAGATTTTTCAATGACTAACTTTGCGGCTCGTCTCGAATCAGACATCACATTAATTACGCCCCCATCCTCCCTCGCCCCCCTTCAAGCTGCTCTTAAACAAAACCCGCATCTCACATCGCTTCCTGCCCCCTCCGTGTCCGTCGTGGCCCCGAAAGACCTTGAAATGACCATGGGAACGGCCGAACTTCTCCGTCTTCCGGAAGTTCAAGAATGCATCAAGACAGACTTCCTTCTTCTTCCATGCGACCTTATATGTGATATCCCGGGTGAATCTATACTAGAGGCGTGGTTGGTCACTCAGGGAGCTCTGGGAGGGAACCCTGATGGCCCGGGTGGGGAGCAAGGTGGCCGTCGCGGCGGGCTTGCCGTATATTATCAGACAGTAGGTCGTGAAGAGAGTGTAAAGGGTGAGGCCACCGACTTTGTGGCTGTTGCGCCTCTTGGGCAGGATGAAGCTCCGGTAGTATCACATCTCGTTGACGGACCATCAGCCTTGCGCTTTGGTCTATCAAAATTACTCATGTCAATGCCTATGGATACTGTGAAAGAGAGGATGGAACAGGAAAAGGGCTTTCTTGTGCGCCATGCATTAATTCAGAAGTATGCGCAGGTCAAAATGCTGACTAGTTATCGCGATGCGCATCTCTACGTCTTTCCGTATTGGGTCAAGGATCTAGCTCGCCACCAGGAGAAGCTGGAATCAGTGAGTGAGGATCTTATCGGCTATTGGGCCAAGTCAGGGTGGCAAAAGGGTCTAGGGGATAAGCTGGGGATGAATAAGATCTTCCATGATCAGAGTCAGCACGACAACAAAAGTCACGACGGCGATTTAGTGGAGGACGAGATTGACCTCAACAACATAAGTTCTACAAAGGTCGGCAGTGCGGCTTCACACTCTGTGGAGCATCCTCAAATCCTTGCTTATGTCCAACAAGGATCGACACCATTTGTCCGACGAGTTGACAGTTCTGCTATCCTTCTGTCAACATCACTTCGGCTGGCCAAATTGGAATCGATTGAGGAAGTTGGTCGTCAGGCAGCATCGCCTTTTGCGCATAACCAGAAGGTTGCCCATCCGGAGGGCGTAGCCCAACGGTGCACGGTTACGAAGAGTGACTGTTTGCTTGCTGAGAATGTAACTGTGGAGCCAACATGTGTCATCAAGGAGAGTGTTATCGGGCCCAACTGCCATATTTCCAGTGGCGCACGACTCACTCGCTGCGTGGTGATGGACGGAGCAGTAGTTGAGTCTCGGGCTCAATTGACCGGCTGTCTCATTGGCCGACGAGCTAGGATTGGTCGTGAGTCCGTCCTCAAGGACTGCGAAGTCCAGGATGCCAATGTCGTTCCGGAGGAAACGGATGCTAAGAACGAGAAGTTCATGGTATTCGAAGGTCTGGATGATGAAGGAGATGAGGGAATGGATGAAATGGAGGATTTCGACGATTGAGTGTGTTGATGAGTTCGGTGACGACTGATTCGATACATGTTCCACATACCCCTGCTTATGTCTGGATGAGATAGACGAATGACATTGGAAAGTTACGTCCCTAGTGAACAGTGGTCCTTTTTTGGCCAATAATATAACCTACCATACCTGCGGAGTCTAGTACCTTTGTAGTGTCTGACAGTCGAAAGCCGGCCCAGTTCGACCTTCTCCGATTCCGGCCTAACTTCGTATTCAGCCTAAACCCGCTTGGTTATAACAGGTTAGAATATACTCCATGATGACCACACGTGATCAACCATTTATAATCTTGGCTTTGAGATAAACTCATGAATCCTTCAATGATCCCCCGTCCACTATGGTATTTTATAGTGGCATCCATACTATTCACAATAAAATGCTAGCGTCCCTATTGGATGCACCTCCATTCGAGCTCATGGAGCGTTCCACACTTGACCGTGATCTTCTACCCTTCAACGTTAATATGTCTTCCGATATTCCATTATCCACTGGTGTTGTGGAAACGGAGGAAGAAACCGATCATAGTACAGCTACGCGCTCGTCAGACGTGTAGCCAACGCGACAGCTAACATGGCCCGGTTCTGCAGGCGAGATCACTCGTATCTACCCCGGAGCGGACCTCGTTCCCTTAAACGTCTTCCCATCATCTCTTCCACCACGGCTCGTGAGGCGGGCTCTCTCTTATCGTAAGTTCCTATATCGTGTGGATCCGTCGATACAAGGCTCATTTATCTATAGGATTCGCCATCATGACGCCTCGTGTACTTCCGTCGCGCAATGTGTCTAATCCGTATCTCCAATACTGGTTTCCTATGTCACTAAACGATCAGGCGACATTCAAGGCCATAGTATTGTCTTCTTTATCTCATGAGAGGATCAACGGCTTGATCTCAGCCAACATGGCTAGCCTAACATCAACCAAAGAGGTCGTACCGTATTTGAAACAATACTACTTGGACACGATAACTTCGATTAATGAAGCACTACACGATCCTGTTCGAGCAACTGCTGATGCGACCATCCTGGCAGTCTTGATGATGGTCGAAAAGCCATTGATCCATGATGACAACCAGTGGTCCAAGCAGTCTCCATTCCAGGCCCCGCTGCAAGGATTACAATGGTTGGATGTCCACAGTGCCAGAGAACCCAATCAGTTGCATCAAATGGGTCTTCACAGAATAATATCCTTAAGGGGTGGCCTTTCTCAAGTTACAACGCCCGGTCTTGCAGCCGCAGCATTCTAGTAGGCAACATTCCCCAAACCGGATCCAGGATCAGAAACTCACATTTTCTTTAGCCGGGTACTAGTAAACTCTACGCTGCTACTCTCTCCTCCGCCTCTTCCGTTCGTCGCACTATCTGGTCAAAGCGAATTCGAGATAGAAAGATACTTTCTTCTTGGCATCACTAACACAGCTAATCGCTTAACGCTCCTCGACACAATAGATCTTGATCCGGAACTCCGCAAAGTTATGCAGGAACTGAAAGTCTACACAGCAACAATTGACGACTACGTTTCCGGACGTAGTTCGTCATACAGACCCCAGGCAATTTGCGACCAGCGCAATCTGGTTCAGTATCATCTGATGAGCATAGGGAGGATTACTGGCACAGGACTTGGAGCTATATCTGAAGTCTGTCGACTGGCGACAAGTATTTACAGTATCGGGGTGACGTTTCCACTTTCTGGCGTCCGAGCTCCGTTTGAAACACTGGCAAAGGCATTACAATCAGAGTTGGATACTAATAAGCTTCTCGACACCTGGCCAGTTCTGGAACATGGCGATATCCTGTTTCTGTGGATCCTCATGATGGGCGGTATAGCAGCTAGGAATGGACCAGGCAGAGACTGGTTCATCGAGAGCTTGGCTGAGGTTATGTATGTTTCAGATAACGTTCAGTGGAGCTGCGTGAAAGAAAAGCTGCGGATGATACTCTGGCTAGATATTGCTTGTGAGATGGCTGGGAAGGAGGTCTGGGGTGAAGCCCACGTTCTGTTGCAGAGCCGAGCGCAGAGGACAAAATCAGTCTCTTTCCCTTCACCCACGTCAAACCAGAAGTTGAAGGCACCTTGTGGTCACTGCCGATCAAAGAAGATTAAGTGTGATAAGGATGACCCTTGTCAGAACTGCGTCAAAAGTGGGTTGAGCTGCGGCTCAGCTGGAGCCAGTGCGGCTTTCCAAGCAAGGGTGCACGTGTTCTCCATGCGACAGAAGCCGTGCGACATGTGTCGACGACGGAGGGTGCGATGTGATAAGGGGAAGCCGTGCCAGCGCTGCAACGACGGTGGCTTTAGATGTGTCTACAGAGAATATATACAAAGTTGAAGCTGCGGAACTGAATTCCCCCAAGCCGGTTGCTGCCCATAACCGCTACCACAAGTAATCAAGAACCGCCACTCACACTTGGTCGACTTGGATTTAATTGATGCGAAGGCAACAGGACTACTGGAACAATATTGTTGGCCTCATGCTCTAGACAACGGTCTCGTCATACAAGTCTTGAAAGATGCAATAAGTGCGCCATGATCATTGAACTCTATGATGAATTAAACACAGCCAACTACCGCCGAATCATCTAATAAACCCCACCTTGACCCTCAATTAACTGCCAAGAACCTATCCACAACTCACAGTCCAAGGGCACGGATCTCAAACTCCACAATACTAGGAATAGCCTCCCAAAGGGAGGGACCTTCAGGCTCCCACCCCAAAGCGCGCAGCCGACTAGCCCGACTGCGACAGTTTCCACCCCACAGAACCGGCGCCCATGGATGGAACTTGATAGCGTCTTCAACGGCCAAAGTCTCTATATCCGCAGCAGCAAGCTTTCCACTTTCATGAGCAATCTGTGTGACCTTCTCGCTGACGCCCTTCCATGAGAACTCGCCGGCCTCTGCAAAATAGTATCCTTCTGGGCCCCATGTCGCTGTGCCTCCGTTGGGCTTCAATGCCTCCTCAGTTAGGACGACGAATGCTTTGGCTACGTCGCTGACGTGGCAATCTTCATTACCATTAGCAATCCATGCCTTGTCTTTACAAAGTTGGAGACAACTCACAATCCCAAAGGTTCTCCCCCTTCCCAACAGTAAACCCTTTACCCCGATTCAAAATAGCCTCAGTCAAGAACGGAACCTGCATGCTGCGCTTCTTGATCGGTCCCTCACCCACACCATAGATGGTCGGCGGGCATACAATCGCCGTGGGAACATTCAGTCGCATTCCACCGGTGATAACAGCATCATCAACATTTCGGTGCAGTGCCTCGGCAGGCAGGTTGATGATCTCATGAATATCTTTCACATCGTCGTAGATCTTTGAAGTGGGGTTTCCAGGTCCAGTAGACATATCGTTGAGAACACCTGTTCCGGAGATGTGAATGTATCTGCCTCTTCCAGTGCCAGATGCTAGACCGGCGAGAAGGGAGTTCACTGCGGGAACATGGTCAGAGCTGGCGGTTTCTGTGCAGGTATGACAATATTAGTGCATGACTTTTAGATGAGGTTTGGCCAGAGACTGGCAGTGGCAGACTTACGCAGCACAACATCAGCCTTCGCAGCCTCCTCCTTCAGAACTGCATCATCGTCGAGTGTTCCGATGACAGTGCTGATCTTTGGAAAGCGGCTCTTGAGCTTATCGGCTTGCTCTTGGTCTCGGACTAGTGCCACGACGTCGTACTCGGGGTGCGCGGCGATGAGAGTGACAGCTGTCTGGCCACCGACGTAGCCGGTCGCGCCCGTGATGAAGACTCTAGGAGACATCGTTGGATAAAGCGCTTGAGTGGTTTGAGTTGCTGTGGTGGTTATTGTATTGGGTTTGTGATTGTTGAGTGTGTATGGGACATTGATGATGGGTAACTCTTGCCATTTTATAATTGTTTCTTCGCAGAGATGCAGCCTTTGTCGATTACCAAGAAAACGAAGAACGTCGTGGAATTGCTAAGCAGTTCTGGCTTTGAGGCTATTCGGACAGTCTGATACGAGGCTCGCCGAGCTCGCCGAATGCGCTGGATTGACTAGTTCCGGAAGGACTGCCACTAGTTTAAACCGTGCTGATGCTTAGGTTCAGCCTCCCAGGTTCTTACTGGCTCGCTATTTATCACCCATTATCGTCAGTTTCTCGTGTTTCTCGTGTCTTGCTATCTTTCACTGACAAACTAATGCATTTCTAATCGCCGAAGCCCGCTTTTGGGTCTAATGCAAGACTGACTCAGGTCATCTATCTCTATGTTGCTCCCAAGCTCTATAACTCTTTAAAGATCAAACCCCCTCTACAACAACCCCAATAAAACAACCCTAAAACCTCCCTCCGACCCCTCCACCCCCACGAACCTCAAATCCTTCACCACCCAATCAGCCCCCGCCTCCTTCAACGCCTCCACCGAATGCGTCGTCGCAACCGCCAAAACCTTACAGTCGGCCGCTTTTCCCGCCCGAATACCAGCCGGCGCATCCTCCACCACCAAGACATCCTCTTTGCCCTGATCACCATTCTCCCTTGAAGCCAGAATCTTCGCTTTTCCCTTGCGATAGCCCTCCGGATCCGGCTTTCCCAGCGTGACATCCTCGGCGACAGTGACATGCTGCGGGTGAGGGAGTTGTAGAACGTTTAACCACCCATTCAGCAGTGCTTTCGTTCCGGATGTCACAATAGCGTGGGGAATGTGGAGTTTGGTCAATGATTCGAGGAGGTTGCGCGCGCCGGGGATTTCGACGGCGGGGGTTTTGCTAAGGGTGGGGATTTGGGATTCCATATTGCTGACATCTAATGTCGAATTCAGGTCAGTTGTCACCTAAGATAAAAATATGGAAGGTAGTGTGTGTGTACATACATTCCCAGTTTGCTTTCGTGGGATCTAGCTGTTGTAGGACATCAATGCTTCGTCGACCGTGCGAGGTGCGGAGGATTTCTTCATGGTCGATGCCTAGCTCATTGCCGATTCTGTGGTTGTTAGTATGCGGTTGTCTCTGATGTGTTCCAAAACGGATATACCTTTTCCAGTTCTCGACAATTGCTGCGTTTTCGTTAGATTCTCCTCAGAATCTATATAGGAATGATTGGCTTACCCTCGGTTGAGTCAATGATAGTGCCGTCGAAGTCTAGTAGAACTCCTGCGAAGGTGTAGGATGCATCCATTCCAGACGACTGTGTTTCGGGTGACATTTTGGATTGTGACAAATATCTATTGACGATACGGGGTTCAACTGCTGTGTTTATCGAGCTACATCTTTATATTAAGAGACGTGGCGCTGATAAGCGGATGATTGCTGTATTTGGTAATCGTCCCGCATACTAAATAGGCAATCGACCCGACACTTCTTAAGACAATCATGAGATATGGTTAGAGTTAAAATTGGATCTTATTTGCAGATCACTACGACTTTATTAATAGATCTCTGGGTCTGGGTCTAGATTTGAGTACATATGCTTCGAATATAGTATGCCGTAGTTGCAAATCTGCGAGCACAATAGTCGCCAACTTGTGGCTTATCAAAAGAAACATTAACCACATATTTAATTCCCCTTTCTAGGTAGAGTAAATTGACCGAGCAAAACATCCATCTAATCATGCCAACTACATCGGCTTCTGCGCCGCAACAACCAAAACATCAAAAATCGGATGAATATCCTTCCTCAACGACTCCCTCTTGACCCCGGCATTCAATTCCTCAATATCACTCTGCTCCCAACCCAACACATCCCCAAACAACGCAGCCGTAAAGCCCTCCACACCCTCCACAAAATTCACCCTCATGAAACTCCCACACTCCTTCAACCTCGCATCCTTAGGCCAACTCCCAATCGGCAACTTAAACTTCATCGTATGCACGGCCCTAAACCCAGCCTCACCAACCCACTTCTCAAACTCCGGCGCCGGATCCATCGTCTGCCCAATCCTCAAACACGCCTCCTTCAACCCATCCATCATCTTCACCATATAACTATCCGCCTTCAGACTCTCATCCTCCGAATACAACGTATTCACACTCTCCTGCAACTCCAACCAACCCCCGGGCTTCAAATTCTCATAACACTGCTGAATCAACCTCGGCCAATCGCGAATCGAACCAGCCATATACCGACAATGAATATAATCATACGGCGCACTCTCCATCCAATCCTTCTCCACATCATCCACAATGAACTTCACATTCGGCGGTACCCACGACGGCTGGATCGGACTGAGATCGTTGCCTACGATCTGCTCCACATTCGGATATTCGTCGCCCATCTGGATGGCCCAGATGCCGGTGCCGGTGCCGATATCTAGAATGCGTTTCCCGTCTGGGTTTATCGGCGCAAGGAACAGTCGGTTGTTGATAAGTCGGTAGAAGATATGGTGCACCATGTCTAGTCGGTCTTGTTCGGGCTGGTCGTTAGGAAACGGGTAGTTTCCGAGATGGTGTGCGTGGTAGCGTCGCCCATGCTTGTATTCGTATTTGAGTACGCTCGAGCTGAGGGATGTTGTGGAGGATTCGGTCCCTAGGCTGATTGCGTCGTCGTCGTGGTCCACCTCAATGGGGAGGTCGGGGGCGATTGAGCCCATTGTTACTATTATGTATGTGTTGGGGTGTGGTGTGCTGCAAGGGATAATCAAGACGGTGCGTGTTCCTAGACGATTGAATAGTAAAGACAAAAAGACGAAAAGAAAAGGAGAAAACGAGAGGGTCACGCCACTATAATCCGGAGTTTTATATCCTTCACATGGTGGATATGACAGAGCTACGACTGGACTAGTTAAAAAGTGGTAAATACGGAGTACATTAGTTCTGATTCGCATGTTCGGCGGAAGCCGAGGCCGGTTGTTTCTCGCTAACGAAATGCCATGCCTTTAGCGCTTATGGCGGTCCACTTTTAAAGGTCGGGTTGCATCGAAACCAGCGATATAGCGAATGAGAGTGGGTTCATGTGTGTTTATCGGGTTAATGGCTCCGGAGATGTGCCGGGGTTGGTTTAGATTGATTATTGGTGCTCCTTGATTTCGTGTTCTGCGCGTGGCAGTTATCTACGGCTCTTCCGGTGGAGATGTTTCTATACCGGGGTGGAAGTAATGTTCTTGGCATGGTTTCAGTATACTAAAATATAACTCATTCTAGAATACTGACTAGTAAATCAAGACCGAAACACCGCGTCTCCCCGCACAGCAGATGGAGATATATGTTCAAACATGTACTGATAGTATGCCTTTCATCATTTGCAATAATAATGGGCTGCTAGCTTACTGTAGCCTTCCTTTCATAGTACAATTTCTGCTGTCCTTTGAATTCCAACGGTAGCACTATTTGTGTTGCAGGTGTTGCCTGCTTGAGACCTCTCATCATCGATCATCCCTGCTGCTATGGTCACGAATATCATTCCTATGGTATGAATAATGATATGCACCAACCAGCTTCCAATTGGCCAATGTGTAATATTCCTAAGACATGGCCAGCTCTTGCTCGTCTTCTTTTCGATCCCCCGACTTCTTCTCTCGGCGCTAGATTCGAATTGGATAGAAGTGCTTGGATGTTACTCCCCCACCAGGAGCAATTGATGGTGCCGCATCATACTCTCGTTTGATATTATCTGCCATCTCTCCTCTCCTCGTGAGATGCAAAAGGTGTGCAATTTATCGATTGAATGGCTCGGTGAGGCCTTCGGACAGGCTAGGGTTGGCAATCGACCTAAGTTAACGACTTCTGGTCTCTACTGATACGGCACACAGGAATAAAATATGACCATATTGCACTTGCCAGAAACATCTTGAATATATCTCTCTCAGTAATTTTAATAAGTTCACCGGGGACGGATGCAGCGACACGGGGGCCACTGCACTGGATCGAGTAAGGACCATATCAGAGCAACCATTGAGTCAGACCTGACGCCGAAGGAGAGAAAGTAAAGACTTACTTTTCAGAGTCGTTTTGCTCCGTTAGGATCTCGTCCACCCAGCGGAGAATCTCCTCGATGTGTTTACCCAGCACGAGTAGCACATTGCGACCCCTCGCCTCATGCTCGTGCGGATAGTGTGATCATCGAAGTGTACATATAATGAGACATCACTTGTATATTCTCGAGACTCTTGCCTTTAATGACTTTAGATTCCCATTTCCCCCCAATAACGATATACAATTGACCACGTCGGGGTTCTGCGTCAGGTTCGAGCTTTGGAAGATATCCGGACAGTCCCGCATCAAACGGAAGTGCATACCACAGCGTGCACCCGGCACTCAGAGTGTCATTGGTCATCTGAGGATTATCAAGGGACGGTTGGAGCGTGGATCGAATGAGCATAGTGCGCATCTGCAGGTCACCCACCAGGTTGGCGAACATCCTCATCTTCCCCTTTCAATGTTCAAACAACCACAGAATTCGGCCGGCCATTCGAATGCATGTAACGGTCTAGTTATTGATGCTAGCGATATCAAAACCAGCGAGGCCTGCCTCTTATTGCTGGTCTTGTGGTTGATCAGTTCGCGCTTTGCTGGAGCTGGGCAACACTCATAGTAATATTCCGGTTTTAATTGGATAACTCTGCAATTGCCTTGTCTTTTGAGGAAGTTGCCCTTATTACGATCATGACAGTTGGTACATGCTTCTGGCGGAGGTTATCCCTGAGACCGGATCAGCAGGACATTGATGTAACTGGAACGGTGCATAGAAATCTGATAAGCATGAATCCGGCCTTGACGGAATTCCACTTGGAAAATGCGATAAGCAGTGAAATCTAGATTTTAGCAACGCCGACGGAGAATTCGTGATCATATAACTTGTAGTTACTTGATATGGTTGAACTTTCGGATCATCAAACGGTACAGAAAGTGGTATTGGACGCGGGCCATCTCTACAATGGTGTCCAGGTAGGATTTCAAGGCCGAAGCCCAGACCACATAGCCCTCGTCTCCAGGCAGCAAACGCAACAGCGGATCGCAGTCGTACGCACGACGCTGCGCGTGGGTAGCGCCGGCGGGAGGAGGAGGAGTCGACAGGTCCATAATGTGACGACGATTAGCGAGGAACGAATTGTACGCCACCACATTCTCCTATCGAAACACCACCTATTAGTCATCTATTCAAGCGATCCATAAGCAGAAGGGAGGACACTGACGCATTGACTAAAGCTCAAAGACATCCAGTATGTCATATAAATCGTCTGGTTCTAGCTCTGCAAGATAACGTTTGTATTGTCACTGCCATATATACCCATCCAAATGTTCCGCATAATTCTGCGCGACATGCAAAAAGATACTAGTTATCAGGTTCAATTCTCGGATAGTCGCATATTGTCACAAATGGCGACGTAGTGGTTGGCCGAGGGCAGCTGAAATGTAGACATCATTCTGGTCTCTCGATGTATGTATCTCAACCAGCTGCCGAAATCTGAAAGCTCAGTGCCCAATAATTCATGTTCCATATATTTCATGTACATTCGTGATGTACACAATGTGAAAGATATTTTCTCAAGTCACCCCCGAAAGAGTCCGCTTTTCACCTCTGATATCTTGGAATGCGCATTATAGCTCCTTCTGTATGATTAGGGTTAGTAGCGATCTGTCAGCTGTCCTGGTAGTTGGCGTACTTTTCTTATCAGTCACGGGCACATTTTTCCAGGTATTGTCGAGTTCTGCGTCCCCTGGGGACCATGTACTGGGGAATTTAATATAGTCTATTATAATAAAGGTTTTTCGGTTCTCCTGTATGCATATAGAATGTCAAGGGCATACAAGAAGAAGATAGCATGTAGTAAAGAAATGTAGCTATGAAGATTAATGCAGAAGATGATTGGAAGAGGCCCCAACCCTCTTTATATATCATGAGTGCAGCCAAGGCTGGATTGAATTCTGAAATTCAATCAGATACCATGTGAAACTCTAGAGCATGCCTTAAATAGCTGAGACCAGTACACAGCCGAACTCACAGTGACAGTCAAAGTAGGAAGGTTAGAAGTCAAGCAAGGCATTAGATCACTTCACCAATCCTCCTAATGCTCTAACTCATTGATTGTCTATTCAGATGAATGCTTCTTCCAATGAATGGTTGGGTGAACCATGCTTTCCTTCTCATTCTTCAAGCATCGGCGAAAAGGGCTATCTAAACCGAGACATCGCTCAGAAATCTGATCTTCCTAAATAAGTTTAAGCTTCCGCCACCATCATTGGTATAGCCAGGTTTATTATCTACCCAATTCTCCTCTGACTATCAGCATGTACAAAGAAACATGTCATCTGAACAAGCGCTTTTTAAATTGATAGAAGATCACTTGTTTCCAGATGATCACAATTTCTGGATCTTCGAGTTAGCAGGTACAAGAGCCGCTATCTGTTGACTGATAGCAATTAGATCCATCCTTTCATCGAAAATAAGAACCTCCATATCCATTTGGCCGTTTAAGATCCTCTTGCACTCAGTCCGCAAGTAGAGCCATCGGACGTCCTCCGCGGGAAGCCTTTGCTTGATCTCTGTAGAGAGGGTCAAGGAGACGTTCAGCGTTTTGCCCCAAAAGTTTCTGGCGCCATCATCATTGAGAACTCTCCAATCGCTCCGTCCTTCATTGCGGGCCTTTTCTTGGCGCTTCGCAAACTCGAGCAGTGCCGCTATACTCCCCATTGGCAACGGCTTCCCTTCTCCGTGAGGGACATAGTTATCTTGAATGGGAAACGCCATGTCTCCCACAAACTGTATCATGTCATTAGTCCATCGGGCCTTGCTTCCGCTTCCTGACGGCCGAGAGCCTAGCGGGAGATAGTCCCAACCCGGTTCAACCCATTGCTCGATGAATGGGAAGTCGGTGGGCAGAACTCTCGGGATGAAGTTCTTGACGTAGGACTGGCCCCTTCGGAATCCTTCGGGATAGAAGGCGCAGTGGTAGGAAATCCAGTTAGGGTCACTGTCTATCTCGAGTTTCGTGAGGTCCACGGGAGAGGGGGGCGTGAAGAGACGCCAGTCTGTTTGAAAGGTGATGCCTGCGATGGATAAGTTGGTGATGCTGTCAAGTATGTAAGCATCTGTTATTCCGGGTGTGATTGTTTCCTACATACCTTATATCCGCAGACGCAGTGATCTTCTCATTCTGGAATGATTCGACACGGAGGGTAGACTGTCCTTTGCCGATGTTCACTTCTCGCAAGGTCATAATCAATGGTGCCGAGTCAAATGTCGGACGGTAGAATTGGACATAAGAATTTCGAAGGTCAATCTGAGTTTGCAGTTTGGGGTGTTGGGAGGCGTAATAGAGTGCGTATTCTGTCATCACGCTGGCTACATAGCCACCATAAATGACTGCAACGTGGTCAGTGTCCCTTCACAAGTAGGATTCATGCATTCTGATACGTACCAGAGCCGACCGCAATATCCGAGGGCAGGTGCACTGAGCATTGACGCGTAAATGAGAACGGAAGGTCCAACGCTTGGGATAGGCTTGTGGGGAGTGACTCCAATGGCCTTCCTATCTTTTAAACTGCTTTGTTTCTATAGAGGGTTTTGATGATTATAAAATGTCCGAAAAAAGTTGTGTGGGAGCCTGCTTGTCCCTAAATACTCGAGGTGAGGAAGATCGGAATAATGATCCAATGAAGCGACGACAAGCCACGCAGTAAGCTGACATTTCGGAAGCAATTGTCTACTTATGGTCAGCACACCCACATCCATTGAGGCTCAACTTTATAGCTGTGACAGGTAATCAGTCACAGTATGGTTTTGGGTATTCATCTGACAATCTGTTACCCAACTAATCCCAGTCACGGCCACTAGTAGTTCAGGAACTGCCTTGTTTACCAGCCCAACGTTGCTGGAAAAAGGGGCTGTGCCCCTTCTTTCTTTGTTTCCATCTGTTGGACCAACAATCCTAGTTCAAATTCATTTGCCCTTCTAGTCTAGCCTTTTACATACCCTTGTATGCTTATCTTCCTTCTGTGTTACCTTTCACGGGTCATATTAATGTTCACTATCTTACCATGTACTTTCGTCTCGGTGTTGGAGGAGTGTCTACTTCCTGGCTGAATAAGTGGGCCGAGGCTTCCAAGGATCCTTGCTTCTTTCATGATGATCTTATTCGATGAGATACTTTTATCTTCGGGTGCTTGCATGCATTACCCACCTGCTATAAGGCAGATGTCTCGTTACTCTGTTCCATCTCAGGACATTCACTGTAGATCAATACCTCCCTGATTCCTCTGTATTCTAGGTCATCTTTCGCCCATGATTCGCCCGTATATTTCTGGTGCTGGGATCTGCACTGGTTCTTTGTCATATCCTTTATAAGGCAAAGATGACAAGATAACAAGGCTGTGTTTGACCGACATAGTAGAATTGATACTCATTACTGTTGATAATACCATGGATTAGTTGCTTCGTAAGATTGACAATCTATATTTGCCGAAAGGTCATTGATGTTCCTACAAATCCTGTTAGATCCCCTTGTGATTTCAATTTCGGACATGCGCAGTAGCCTACAGGTTATAACACCATAGCCCTAACGCTGAGCATTCCGCGCGTCAGCTAAGCTTATGCAAGGTCGGAACTGGATACTGTATACATTACTCGTTGCATCCCCCTCGCGACTCAGGCTTCAGCTGTCCCAAGGCAATTTGCCGAGACCTCCATTCGCTCCACTCATCCACCGTGCGGGTTTCTTGTTCTTCCCCGGGTAGTAAAGGAGGGATAATGCCCCCCTGCAGGCGCTGAAGAGACGCAGTTCGCTTAGCACGTACCAAGTAGGCCACACTTTCTCGCTGCACCTTTGCCTGGTCCCCTGGAGCTGTCACCACCCGGTGTAAGGAACTGCGCAGGACACCTCCCGTCCACTCCACTAAGGTGTCGCCAACATTCACCACAGCACACCCGGGTTCAGGCTTAATGTAGCGCCACTTTTCTTTGATATTCTCACATCCAGCAGGGAGAACCTGTAGTCCGCCTGCGATGTTGAACAAGAGCGTCATTGTTCCCAAATCAGTGTGGCCGCCGAACGATATGCGATCGTAATTGGCATCAGTTTGGGCTGGGCTCCAGAGCAGGCGAACAATACTGTCAGATTCTTGGTTCAGTGGACCCAATGCTTCGAGTGTATGGGGCTCTATCTCCAAACAACTGTCCAGCTTGGCCAAGACCTCATCTAGCACTGAATGAGCGTGTTCGATAAAGCGTCGGAGCTGCTCTTTGCTGGTGTTGACCACATCAGGGTGGAGACGTGAGTGACTGGAGTTCCCTAGCACTTCGTCTTGGCTGAGTGAGTAGGCGCGGATATGGTCGGCGTCGCCATTGTCCGTCTTTATGCTTCCTATGCCTTTATATCTGGTCGGAAGTTAAACAAGCAAGGCCGAGGACGGGGATGGGAACACATACCTCATGAAGTCCGGAGGCTTGTAGGTATACGATTTCAGAGTCTCATGTCCCAGCGTAGAGAGCCGTATAGTCAAGTCAAACATTTCTTCGGCATCCTGGAGCAGAGTAGCCCCCTGTTCTGATCCCGTCAAGTCCAACAGAAAGAATCCCCATTTCTGGCACGCTTCGAACAATTTCTCTACTTCTTCTGTCATGTTGTTCTTCAACCTTTCGAGAGAGATCTTTGACAGTGAAACCACGGGTTGGTCTGAAGGGAACGGAGGAATCCGATCGAAATACTCCTGTGTTGGCATGGTGCCAAGTTGCCTAACACAGATTTAGTTCCGTGTAAACCCTCAATCAAAGTGTATGACAAACAGCTCAGCAGTTTGTGGGTTCCGAAAAGATAGCAGCGAAAGGACAAACTTGAAATGCGAGCACCTGTAGTAGTGTCTTCTTCGGTCTTCCTGCTTATTCTCCTGCTATCAATTGCGGACTTGAGGAAGAACAAGAGTTACAGGACTATTTATAAAACCTACCAATCACGTATCACATAGCAATTCCCCTATCACACGCAGACTATAAGCTTCAATGTCTGTGGCCATTGGGCTGTGAATAGCTAAGAAGTGGACCAGTTAAAAGAAAGTATCCACGATACCACTGTTGTAAGAATCATTCATTGTACAAGGCTGATAGCGCTACTGTACATAACCCAGCCTCACCAGCAGGGGTGTGGATCCTGTGTTGGGATCAGCAGCTTAGTTATGATTATACTTCTTTGTTTGTAATTGTTGTTGGACTGAGTGGTTCAGACCCTGTGGTATGGTGTCTAATTAATTATTCACTACTACGTACTATTAGTTTTCTCTGAAAACCCAAATCTAATTGGTGCCCGGATGTTGTCTCCAACACTTACTTACCCATCCAATAAGATTACAGATAAGCACGAGTTGTAATGCTGCTGTGCGGAGATGTTCTAGACTTCCACATTCCAACATGAGAGCAGTCATACAACACCTACATGCGTCCATTAATTCCCAATCACGTTGTTTCTCACAGTACCTTCAAGAGCCCTGACTTATCCGGACTCAAACCATCCGATCGTACAACCCATCGCAACATACCACCACCACCACCACCTTGTCAGATCATACGATCCCGTCACTAATACTACTATAACCCCTCACCACCCCAACCAAACCATCACAACTACAATTACACCTTCAACCTACACACAACATCCACTACCATCGTCATCCATCCAAAACATCAAAAATGACCCCCCAAACCATAATAATCGGCACCGGCCTGGCGGGCCTAACCACCACCAGCACACTCCTCACGCACCACATCCCGGTGCTTCTCCTCGACCGGGCGCCCAAACCCGGCGGCAACAGCATCAAAGCTTCCTCAGGGATCAACGCCGCACCGACACGATACCAACTCGACCCGGATTCCATCACCACATTCCAACACGATACCCTCCTCTCCGCAGGAGGGCCATATACCTCGGCTAGAGGGGTAGAGCGCACCCGACGCGAGAAACTCATCGACACACTTACAACCAAGTCCGCGGACGCGCTATACTGGCTTACGGATGACATCGGAGTCGATTTGAGTCGGGTCACTCGACTCGGGGGACATAGTGTATCGCGGACGCATCGGGGAAGTGGGAAGGGGACACCGGGGTATGATATCATCAAAGGGTTATTAGGACGGGTATCGGACGATAAGAATTGTCGGATGGGAGTAGGGAGACGGGTTACGCGGATTCTACGAGAAGAAGGGGGAGGAGGACGGGTTGTTGGGGTGGAGTATACTGTCCAGGATAATGAGGGAGGGGGCAATCAGACAAAGACAGAGACGGCGTACGGACCTGTCGTTGTCGCGAGTGGAGGGTTTGCGGGCGATGCGAGAGGGCTGTTAGCGCAGTATCGGCCCGATTTGGAGGGGATACCGTCGACGAATGAACAGCGCGAAGGGACGCAGCCTTTACTGCAGGATGTTGGGGCGGCGGTGGTGGATATGGAGCAGGTGCAGGTGCATCCGACGGGGTTTGTGGGAGGGGGAGAGGAGGAAGCGGAGGCGATGGTGAAGATATTGGCGGCGGAGGCGTTGAGGGGGGAGGGGGGTATACTTGTGCTTGGGGATGGGAGGAGGTTTGTGAATGAGTTGGAGACGAGGGAGAAGGTGACGGGGGAGGTTATGGGGAGGGCGGAGAGGTTGCCGACCAAGGCGAAGCAGTGGGATGTGAAGCTGGTGTTGGACGAGGGGGCTGCTGCGGCGTTGCAGTCGCATTTGGGATTTTATATGTGGAAGGGATTGATTAAGAAGACGACGGTTGGGGAGTTGGGGGAGATGTCGGCGCTGGAGGGGACGCTGAGGGAGTATGCGGATGTGGTCGCTGGGAAGAAGCAGGATGAGTTTGGGCGGCAGTCGTTTGGAAATTGGACGCTGAGGGAGATCAAGCCGGAGTCGGTGGTGTATGTAGGAAAGGTTACCCCGGTTGTTCACTTTACCATGGGAGGCGTGGTGATCAACGAGCGCAGCCAGGTGTTGGACGGTCAGGGGCAGCCGATTCCCGGACTCTGGGCGGCCGGCGAGATTACCGGGGGTCTCCATGGCCAGAATCGGTTGGGGGGATCGTCGCTGTTGGAGTGCGCGGTCTTCGGTCGCATTGCCGGAGAGGAAGCGGCTGCTTATTATCAGGGACTGAAGGAGACATGTTCCTGAGGGTATGCTTGGTGGGAGAGATTGGTGGTTGTGATAATTTATTGTGATACTATGTATTATGCAAGCTACAGTGAAATTTGTTGAATAAGCTACTACGGCAGTTGTCTGATCGAAATTTACTGCTTGTTTGATCTTGTGTATAAAGTTCTGGGGAACTGCGCGGTTCATGCAACCTACTGCATCTCTTTACGATGACCTTGTTTCGCATTCAACGCCTTACTTGGTGATGATGGTGATAATCATCATCAAGCAGTGTAACGAATCGAGGCACTAGTCATGAGACATTACATCTCACATCTGGCCAGTGCATTCGAACGGAACCGATCAGTTTCAAGAGTCGAACCACTGCACAATGCATGCAAGCGCACTGTAATATCTTCGCAGTCAGCCATTTCGCACTGTGATCCCAATTCGAAGGAAATTCCGCCAAGATTCCATGAACCATGTCAAGATGATCATTGTCGCCCTTAATTGCATCATGGGGCCGTTGCATGAAAACTGGAGTGCTTAGATACCCTACATCCACGAGCAGGTGAAATAAAAGTGACGTTGGGGCAGGCCACCGCAGCCCTTGCGAGGATGCGTTGATTGATGGACGGGGGGCAGGCCCTGAGCACAGGGACCCATGACGTAGGACGCCGAAGGGACGGGCTTCTCGGTCGAATTCCGGAGAAAAAGAAAAAAAATCTAAACTAAAACCAACAAAGAGAAGATGAGCTGTCGCACCGCCACAACTCAAACATTTACCCTGTCCGACTAGGGTCGTCGCCTCCACGGAGCGGAGTTAGTCAATCTGGTGGGCACCCTTCCCTTCTGCTTGGACTTGGAAGTGATGATACAACGCACACTTCATCCCACGTAAATGCACCAATGCACCGACCGGTCCATGGCGACTCGACGCGCTCTTCTAGAACTTTGAGTGTCTGTTTGGAAGGTGCAGATACCCCTTCTCCTTACAGACAATGCAGCCCGTGGGAAATGGAATGGCTGGGTACCCCAGCCTTCCTTTCGGCCGCGCCCTGGAACTGTTTTTCCGTCCTGACTCTCGCCCACGGTTACGAGAGAAATGGTAGCTTCCTCAATCAATAGATCGAAATTAGTGGGTGGCGGAAAACTCAGCAGCTTCCCCACAACGGACCAAACAACCGTGTTGCTGTGGTACCACGAGCCAAGTCGCCGTGATACACAGAGCTCTGTAGTCAGTCCGATTGACAATGGGCGAATCAATCCTGGACTCTTCTCCAGCGTCAACGCTAGAGAGACAGCCAGAGTCGTGAGTGGCCCAGCCCTGTCGCGGAGGCAGCCAAATGTGGCTCAAGAGGGCGAGGGTCAGCCACACCGGCGGTGGGCTGATTTTAGTGGCAGAGCGAAGCACAAATCACCATTTGAGCCGGCGAAGATCGGCCCCATCGCGTCGATCCCCTGCATCCTGTCGGTCAAGGGCCCTATGCCAGTCTCTGCCCACTTCCTGGCCTTGCTTGGCCTGCCGGCATTCACATCTTGGGCATCCAGTATCCCCCTCCTCACTGACGTAGGTGGTGTGACGAAACTTGGCCTTAGCATCTCTCTGTCGTCAGATCTAGACTTCTCTAGTGTCAGTCGGCAGCCCGGTTCGTAAATTGGCGGAATAGGAGTGAACCAGATGCACTAACAAAGCGAGAAAAGGCCCTTCTCCCTAGTTCGGTTAGCAAAAGAAAAACTTAATCGACTGGAGCTTGGGATTGTTGAGGGAAAGTGGGATCAACAACCGGGGATATCTCCAAATCCCTAGATCCTCAGCCACTCGGCGCAAGCGAGGGTTTTTCCCTTCAGCCTATGAGAGGCACGCAGGGGATACAGTGGATTCGAGTTGAGCCACGGTGTCTGGGTCTGATCATGATAGACGATGCCCCTTCCCTTTAGTCCAAGATTAAGGCCAGGGTGGAGCAGCCATGACTGCATGGACTGGCCCGTGACGGTGTCCTGAGCCACGTTGGTGCGCTGGTAGCCTGGTAGATGGGGTTCTGATGCCTTTGCTGATCGACTCCAGAAGCAACCAGCGACTCGCAGAAAAAAAAATAATAAAAATTAAAAAATGAAAAATGAAATGAAATTGTGAAAAGCAAAAAGCAGAAAAGTAAAAACAAGCAACGCAACTACTCCAAACTAGTAGATTGACGGCAAACGCCGAAGTGAACGAATCGAGTTGTCGGTGCGGCAAACAGGGGAAGCTGCGGGCCCTGATTTTGGATTTGCACTTGTTGACTCTTTCCTGCCTCCATTTTAAATCGGCTCTTGTCCCCTCGCCCTCCTTCTCTTTCTTTCCTTTCTATCTCTCCAAGCAATCCATCCAGTCCCATCATCTGTCTTTCGCGTTCACCTTCTTCGGTTGATACCCCATTCTTCGCGCCGTCGCTCTTCAATTTTCTGCTCTTGCACGTTTCCATCTTCTTATCACACACAATGAAGACCTTCTCGCTCTCCCTCGCTCTTCTGGCCGCTGCCAGCATGGTCAGCGCTGATGTCTCCGTCAGCGACTGCGCTGTATGTGTACCTGGATGTGACTTTCTTGACGCACCTTACTGACCTGCGCGCGTCTCTAGCAAATGTGCCTTAGCAACATGAACAACAAGGCTTCTGAGCTTGGCTGCTCCAGCGGCGACTTGTCCTGCCTGTGCAGCAAGCCCGACTACAGCTACGGTATCCGCGACTGCACCGCTCAGGCTTGCCCCAATGATGACGCCAACGCCGTTGTCTCGTCGGCTCTTGCTTCTTGCCCCACTTCCTCTGGCAGCTCCGACTCCGCTTCTGCTACTGGTGCTTCTAGCACTGGCTCCGGCGCTGGCGGTGCTGGATCTACCACCTCTGCCTCTTCGGCTACCGGCAGTGGTGCTTCGTCTGCCTCTGGAACCAACAGTGGTAACACCAGCGGTGCCACGACTGGCGCTACCACCAGTGGAGCGGTAAGCTTAGTATACTCGTGATACCAATATTCTGAAGCTAATCTCTTGCAGACTTCTGGTGCCACCTCTGGTGCGACCACCCTGAGCACCATCACCAGCACGAGCACTAGCACCGGCACTGTCTCTGGTCAGACCACTCTCAGCACTATCACTGGCACTAGCACCAGCACCGGTACTGTCTCTGGTGCCACCTCCGGTTCTTCTGGCAGCTCTACCTCTGGCTCTGGCTCTGGATCTAGCTCCAACGGCTCTGGCGGCTCTTCCTCTGCTACCGGAACTGCTCCCTCTTCCTCCGAGACCACTGGTGCTGCTCCCAAGCTTAACGTTGCCGGCAGTGGAATCGCTGGTGCTCTTGGTCTCGCTGCTATGTTCCTTCTCTAAGTGACTGGGCAAATGACTTGAGGGCCTGGATACTTCAGGCGCCAAGACGGGACTGAGAACCTGACTTGGATTGTTTCACTATTATGGTTTACGACTTCTACGCTTTGTTTGCGGCTTGTATATGTTAATAGGATGGGTCATAGCATAATGACTAGTAGATAATGTGCCGACTGCCCATGATCATAATCATGGATATGCAGCAGCATGGATGGTTTATGGATGGTTTAATGGATCACCAGGTTGATTTACACTCTTTCTCGGTCGGTTAGGTTAAAAATATGAGTCAATAAACTCTTAAGATCATCAACAAAGCCGCGTAATAGATCTTGAGTCGCTGCAGCATGGTGACCATGCTTATAGACTGGAATAAGGAGGGGTATTCATGATGTGGTGACGTAGACTATGCACAGTGGCATCAGAATGTGATGTGTAACAGTCAATCCGCCGCACTGGACCTCGGAAGGTAAGCATCCACGCAATGGATGCGCGATAAGCTCGAGACTTCTGCATTTCGATGACATTGTGACTTGAGCTGATTGTGGCTTTGCGGAGATGTTAGCTTCGGAAAGTCTATCGCGTCCTCTTTATTTATAGCTTGATACACTTCAACTACATGTCGCGGTTGAATCGGATTATAAAGAAGGTTCTAGTGGAGGGCTTGTCTTTCTATATTTATCTTCAAGGCATGACCTATACCTAGTTCTGCACGCTGTACGGAATACATTGGGTACTTGTTGGTCGTTGCAACAAGGTTATCGTTATGTAGTTAGCTCTGGTTTGGTGTGAATAGACAATTTCATAGTACTACTAGTAGTAGTAGGTAATAGTGGGCTTGGTAGTGTGGATATATATATATATCATCATATGCCCTTGACCCTAGTACTAGTACTGATTCATGCGAGATTCAAACAGTGACCACTACATCGCTACTACTCACAATTTCTTTTCAGAAGATTTTCATACCGTTAGCCTTCACATAGGTTGTAAGTTGCCATCCCTGTTTTTTGCGTGATCTATAGCCTCGAACTAGATACACAAATCATAAACCAAGTAAGAACCAGTAAAGAGTCAGATCATGGCCCTGGATTGCAGTCACAAGCTCTACAGCTTCATAGCCAGATCACTAACAAACACCCAACATACAAAAATACCTCATTATTTCCTCTTTAAGTAAAGGTTTATATCCCCGAGCATGCGAAGAAAGTGAGACTAGGTCAGGTGACCATATTCTTCCTGCCGTCAGCCACAGGCATCAAGGCACTAAGGCATGAAGGCATGAAGGTAGCAATCGTATCTATATCTTCAACAGGTAACCGATACGAGAACTAACCAACCACCCTCATGCAAAGCATGGTTTAATGTAAAGGGCTATTTTTGTTCTTATCTGAATGCCTAAACTGTTCCATAGTGCTAGAATGACTAGATTGAAAGGCAAATCCATGTAAGAAGATAATCTATAAAGTCCAATGGTCCTAGTTCGGATGTTCCATCTACAACACAATTCACATACTACTTACTCATACCATACCACATCCCAGCACTACTCCCCAATTCTCACGAGAATCAAGCACTAAACAATAAACATGAACCTCACCAACCTCATCAATACAATTCCCCGCCCCCTCCTCAAACGTCGCCTCCACATCCTCATCGCATCCCTCATCGCTCTGACCTTCATCCTCATCATCGCCCGACTAGCTACCCCAGGCACACCAGCAACTCGCACCAATATCTGGGGTATAGCAGTGGTACAATCCTCCTTCTTATAAACAACCCCTAAATCCCATTACACTAACTAGAACTAACAATTGAACCGAATGGATAGTGCCTCAAAGCCGCCCTCTTCCTCACCTACCAAATCCTAACAACCTACAAAGTCCGCTACAAGCGATGGGCCAGCCTCAAAGCCAACATGATCCTGGATATAATCGACACGGTGTTCTGGTTCGCCTTGTTTATTATCAGTATTATGGGCGCGAACGGCGGACGTAGTGTCGCTAGTAAGGCGTTGGGTGCGTTTGTGGCTATTTTGGCGTTGGTGTTGTGGTAAGTTTTGTTATTTTTCTGGTTGTGCATCTATGTGTCTCATGGGAGTGAGAAGATAAGGAGATGCTGTGGATGAATCAAACTGACTAGTTATAGTGGTGTTGTAGGTCTATTGTCGTATCTTTGTGTCTTGGATTATCGGTATTTCAAGGCTCATGGGAGGGTTGAGACTTATGGGAGTGAGGAAGTGAAGGGGGAGGTTGTTTAAGGGTATGAGGGTACTACGGTATATTGCCGTTCTTTATGGTAGTTATGGAACCATGAATGTATAGAAGGGGAGAAGAAAAGAGACATCGCGAGAGTTCAAGAATGTATTTCTGTTGAGACACTCGCGTATGTGGTCACCCCATTTACATACAGGTTTACTTTTATTGTGTTTCGTTTGTATTTAGCTGCAGTGATGATTCTTTTAGGCCACAGAAGCCTCGACCAGAAATAAACCGATTTAAGTTGAACAACTAATTATTACTATTTATCCAGGTGTAGCAATATAGCGCAATGTACATTTTGGATCGGATTGAAACCCCACATCCTTCTAAAAATAACGGCACAAGGCTGCCACTTTACTTTTACAATACTCATTTAGTTTTCTCATCTCCATATAGTTTAGATCGAGGACAAAGTAATTATTTTAGAGCTTTTGAGTTTAATCTCCTTATCACTTTGCTGGTTCCACTTTCATTCACCTCCTAACCATAAGCGGTAATGGGTACGACTACGACAAACACTTACAATAGATGACAAAATATTTGCTTTGGATGGTATTGTGGTCGTCTGTTCGTATCTTTTCCCTTTATAGAGAGAGGAGTGGACAGAGCGGTGGAATACGAGAGTTGAGTTCCGGGTGCTACTTGGAGAACATAGGGCTTATAGGGGAAGACCGAATGGTGCAGTATGCATGACAACCAATGAGTACATTGAAACCTGGAGGAGAAGAACGAGAAGGAAATCATAAATCGATAAAGCAGAAAAACAGTCAAAAATTTTTCATCGCCTCCGGGCGCAGCATCTCCACCTGATCCTCCTCCATGTCCATCATCTTGCCATAAGACTTTGGACGAGCCGAGAGAATGCGACTCGGATGCATGACATTGAACAAAACACAACACAAGAACATCAACACAGCATCAAAAATATACAGAAACATCTCACTCTGTTTCAAAACGCCCTCCGAGCCCTGCACATACTCCACCACACGATAGATGGACCGTATCATGATCAGAACACTAGCTGTGTACAAAATGCGCATATAAGTGTGCCATGGCGGTGTGAAAGTCAAGGAAACCTCAGTCGGTGAAGCAGCCATACGGCGATGGAATACCACAGTGACGATTATGAAGAAGCCGAAAAAGACCAATTGAACGATAAGACCGACCACAATGATGTTATTGCCCAAGGAGATCTTGCTTGGGGTTTTGGCAGAGGCCATCATCCCGCCACCGCCACTTTGGATGAAGAATGAGAGCACGTCGCCGGTCACGAATATCTTGGTCAGCCATGATGGCCGGATCAAAGAGTGTGAATCGCCGTCGAGGAGGCGGATGATTCGGCCCAGGATCATGTATATGGAGGCGGAGAATAGGGCCGGGGCTAGAAGGAGAAGCAGTTCTTGTCCGACGTAGGGTTTCACGGTCCAATCGGGGGTCTCTCTGGCGCTGAAGTATCGTGCGATGTATCCGAATGTTTCGACTAAAAAGGCCCAATTTATTAGAAGAGTGAAGGAATAGAGGGATGAGGGAACACACAGAAGCCACCAATAACGAATGGTACAAAACACCATGTTCGCCTACGGATCAATTGGAAAAGATGCACTAGGGAGGTTGCAGCGAACAGCCCGGCAGAGATAATAGCAGCGCCGACAGAGGGCTCATAGTCATAGAGCTTGTAGTCACTCGACATGATTGGAGCTTTGGGTCTGAGACGTTTGGAAAAGCAGAAGTTGAACCCCAAGATGAGAGAACTTGGAGGGCAGAGAGTATTAAATAAGTATTTAACAAACACTACGCACTGGGCAGGTGGATCTCCACTGCGTAGCTTGCACGTTTATGCCATGGAGCTAAACGTTCTCCGCTCAGGGGCGCCGTAGATATCCACAGGGCTTGGGTTCTTATGGTTACCATTGTAAGCTCAATGAACATTTTGGGAAAGCCCGAGAGTGATTCTGGTGGGTAACCGGTAGTACTAGGTGACTGGTCCGTTGTAAAGTAGTCAAAGCTTCAATGTGGATATCAACCTCATTCATCACAAAAGCAATGAAAAACCATACCTTTACGGTGATTCCTGTTATCATATTACCTACAATTTCATACAATTCATATTGCAGCTTATTTGGTACAGTAAGATCGCAAACAATATTGACAGTATTACACTCATGTCCCATGATAACTTCACATACACGGTGCTACAAGAAAAAATCTCAATGCTGCAGGTTCGCAAGTCTAAGGGTCCTCCGGCTGTCTCAGGGCTACCAACAGGGTTACCAACAGGGCAGGCTACTGTGTTTACCAAGACTGCCCAGCCACTAGTAAGACGGCACAGTAGGAACTCCCCCACTGATGGTACATCACATTGGTAGAAATATCATCCAGCGGGGATATTTCGGTGAAATAAGCATGACCCTGAAGCCAGTCAGGGCGGGGATGTTAATTGCTAAGAAACGTAATTTGATGGTGATTCATTCTCCAGCTATGAAGATTGTGGTTGAATGGACTCATATATACTCAGAGTCTTCGCCCATAAGTAGGATTAATAGAGAGGAAATTTGACATCAGCCGTGGAGCAACTGATAAAAATAATTAACATCTAAGTTTCGGGATGATCGTCCTTCCCCGTCCTTCGTTTTTCGTATCTTATACCCGATCAGTCGAGCACGGGTCTCTTCGAACACCAGCTTAAAAATGTAGGCCAATTGGCGTCTTTCTAGAGACAAGTGAGGTGAGACATTGACGGGAGACGTGTGGGGATATCTCTATTTATATTCTGTGTGGTGCATATGTGTCTGTGCCTGAAACAGCTTTTATGGATAAGTATGGTCATCAAAACGGCCAGCACGGTGATCGCCATAGATTCAGTCTCCGCTGTCCATCAACTCCGGTGTACGCCCAAAACATTCGGGGAAAGAACCAAACAAAGGCCACGCGCTCCTGATGATTAACTTGTTAATCGTTGAGCATGGAGCCCAGAACTGCCTTCTAACCGTCAAAAGCACAGTTCGTGTTTTGGTTTCCAGTATTTCGAGTGAGATGACCAGGCCTGGAATATTCAGATGAAGTAGATACCTGATCCGTGAAACTCAGGGCAGAGATTGCCCAGACTCCATACACCCTTTCCATGAGAAGCATCTGTCAATTGCCCATCTGTCCAGGGCCAAAACAGGGACGAACGGAGATAACGCTGAGTATCGTGCTTACTTTCAAAGCGGAGTACCTGATCATGCTTCTTTTACGCCAGCTTTGATGCTATATAGTACACATAAGGACCGGCACCGGCATATACTCCGATAACCCCAGACAGGCTTTATAGCTACACTCCAACCACTAGAGTGGAGTAATCGGCCCGGCCTCCGCACATATGCTTATCCTTATCAGCTCAAATCTCCTGTTTAGTTAATCGTATGTGAAGCTTGGCAGTTAGTCGGTAGCTGCCAGTTGACTAGCATCCCAGCAGCGGAATGATAATGAGACCCGCAAGTTGAAAGTGCAAGTGAGATAATCTCACGCGCCGTGGGGCATGGACACTAAGTTCCTGCCATCCGTTGCTGAGGTCGTCGACGCAGATTGAGGGAACCAAAGCAGAATTTATTGTCTGTAGTAGTGCTGGGGATATGCTTTATGAAGAGAACATGTCGCTGATTCAACGAGACTTTTCTTAACCGCTAGAATAACCGGCTAGTGCCTGCCCAGCGTCATAATCGGTGCCATCGCTTCGCCAATTGGTGTCCGGACTCACCAAGAATATTGATCACCTCTGGGGTAGTGGCGACGCCCTTCTTTGGTCAGAACATGTCAATAACTGTGAATCCGGATCTTGATATTATACGAGCGATATAACCATCTAAGTTGATTGGTGTAAGCCAAGCCTATATAATTGGTGATTGAAACGCTGTGGCTGAAACCCATTGTGTTTTGGTAGGCTTGAAGGATATGCCAACTTGTGCACCCTATCCCGAACACGATAAGCTGAAGTGCCCCTTTTCTGCCAGGTTTTGCACGGGGGTCCTTCGTTACTGGTCCAGGCAATCCACACTAACACCAGTTCGTGATAACGGCGATGCCAGGGTCCATTGTAGCGTGCTTGGTAGAAAAAAAGAACTGCATTCGGATCGGAGGATGATAGCGTCCGGGCAAAGAAAGCCCCGACTTGGAGTAGCGCCAACAATCGGCAGCCTTCTTATTGGCGGGTGGTGACGCGGAGCCCCACTACAGCAGGCGTGATTACGAGCCGCCGCCCATTTACTTTGTAGCTAGTCCCAAAATAGCCTTGTTACTGCCTGCAATTGCTTGTTGCCGCCTGATCCTGGAGGGCGAGCCTTCTCCCATTTATTCCTCTGCTTCCTCTTCATCCTCGCTGCTTCATTCCCATCCGACTCGCTGTTTTTCTATATCGCATCCATCAAAATCATCAATTCTATCCGGCCGTCGTATCCCTCGCTTGACTCTTACACAATCATGACCATCTCTTCCCTCGTCCGTCGAGGTGTGGAGGCCGCCTTGGAGCAGCCTACCCCGAACCAACCCACCATCCATTTCGCAGGATGGCTGTCAGCTCTGTTTGTCTTCACTGTCCTCGCCTTTATCGCTATCGGATTTTCGGTAAGCCGCATACTGCCTCTGAGATGATTCTTAACGGGCACTGACACGTACTCTCAGGTGGAGTACACTTATGGAATGCTGATCCCGACCCTCGCCGCTGTCGAGGATTCCAACCCCGATGTCTACGTCCGAATCGATGGCAACCTTGACGCCAACAAGCCTGTCGATGCAAACGAGCCTGATACCGAGCCTGTCATCGAAGCTCCCCCTCCGATGCCCATCACCAGCAAACTACGCACCACGATTCAGCACCTCCGTGCCCGTGCCGGTTTCCTCTCCCGCTTCCGTGGCTTGAGCATGCTCCTCACTTATGGTCTTGCACAAGGGCTGGTCTTCTCCATGATGCCGTTCTCCATCAACGCATTCTTCTCTCAGTTTGTTGTCGGCATGATCTGCAGCGTCGCATTGGCCAACCTGCAGTTGGCGTGGGTTCACATTGTTATCTCCGAGCCTTCTCCCAAACGTTTCTACCAGCGGATCCCCGGTTTCGCTGCCTGGAAGAAGATCGCTCCGGTTGTTGCTTTCGAACATGCCGTCACCAATGCTGCATACTACATTCCCCTGATCCTGATCAGCGCTTGCAACGGCTTCAAGAACATTGAGAACCCCTCCGGCGGTGACTCCCCAGCCAAAACTCTCGCCGGCGCTGCTACGCTCGTCTCCCTGCCAGCCCTTCTCTCTTTCGTGGTGTCTATTCCCGCCCGGGCCATCTTCATCCGCGTGGCTGCGTCTATGCTCCCTGAGGAGGATGAGTCGATTGTGCCTTTCGACCGTTCCTTCGGCGGCAAGGTCTCTCCCGCCATTGTCGGCGGCAGCGGCAAGCTGAGCATCATGGATGCTTGGAAGACCTTCGACCGGCCTGCTCTGGTCCGCTTCGTCAAGGCCATCGGCAAAGGGTTCGCTATCGAGGTTGCTGTGGCTGCGTTCTTCACCACTCTGCTGGTTGCGCAGGTTTGGGCTGGAGCGGTCACCTATGGCTTCGCTGGAAACAACGCTTAATTACAGCCGAATGCCTTAAAGTGTGTACAGATCCAAAACAATCAGCTACGACTCTGCTCTTCTGCATGACTCTATACATAAGTCCTCGTGTTTGATGATATAGCGCTTACATGATAATCCATATTCCATCCATGACGTAGTTTGAACCTGTGTAATGCGATTAAAATTGAGCCATCTCGTGCACGGATGAGTGGTTGGCGATCATTCTTACAGCTACCCCTATCGCCCATATTTCTTTGTTTGCCCTTCCCGTCGCATCGGGCAGGGATAAGCATGGCGTGTGACACAAGAGGGGACTTGGGAGAATCGGGATAGTCCTGCGGAGGTCCGGACGAGTAAGCGTTATAGTAGTTTACGTACAAACAATACAGTGAGAGTTCCCAGGAGGGTAGACTACCATCTTTACCGGTCTGCTGCACCATCCTCGACTTGCCTTGGACCAGTCATATATTATAGACTGGACTGGCCATACCCGCCAGGTACTCACGGATACTACTTACTACAAGTAGTAGTAGAGCAACGCCACCGAGGCGCACCATTTGAGTTGTTATCGCAGCCCACCCCGCTCCCCCACTCACCGCCCGGCAGCGATTCTTTCCCATCCACTCACTCACTACTACTAACTGCCAGTCTCTTCGTGACCCTCGGTCTACTTACCTTCCCTCCTGCTCATTTGCTCTCTGTGTTAAAATCACCCTCAGGGTAGTAGTCCCTCCTATTCTCCTCTTTCCTCCTCTTCCTCTACTCTTTACCCTCTTGGCCACACTCTACTCTATCAAGGGTCCCCCTTCTTTTCACCATTCCACCCCCTCTTGCATCCCCTCATCGTATTATCGGCTCAACGCCCCTCCTCTCCCCCTCCTTACCCCTCCCCGGTATACTCTCTCCACCATGGCCACAACAGCAGCAGGTCGCATGCTCTCCCGCCAACTGCAGCAAATGCAGTCGGACAAGGACATCCCCGGAATCAGCTGCGGATTGGTCGATAACAATGTCTTTGAATGGGAGGTCATGCTCATGATTTCCGATGATGTCAAGTTGTATGGCGGTGAGTAAAGTTTGGGTGGGAGAAAGCTTGAATGAGCATCTCCAAATTTTCTTCAGGAGCTTTTCAGACTGATTCAAATGAATGATAGGTGGTTTCTTCCGTGCTCGTCTCTCGTTTCCTCCTGACTACCCTCACATGCCGCCGAAAATGAAGTTCGAGACGCCTCTGTACCATCCGAACAGTACGCCTCACCCTGTACCTTCCTAGCTCCCCTTGAGTTCTCTCCAAAGCACAAGACAATCATAGAATACTAATTTTACTGTGACAATTGTACAGTTTACCCCAACGGTGACGTCTGCATCTCCATCCTCCACCCCCCGGAGGAAGACAAGTACGGCTACGAGTCCGCCGCGGAGCGCTGGTCCCCCGTGCAAACGCCTGAGACGATCCTCCTCTCCGTTATCTCCATGCTCTCCAGCCCCAACGATGAAAGCCCCGCCAATGTCGAGGCCGCACGGTTATGGCGGGAAGATCCGAAAGAGTTCAAGAAGAAGGTGCGCAAGTGCGTACGTGATAGTCTGGGAGAGGAGTAAATGAGTTCCTCCTTCCCTTATTTACCTTTATCATACCTTGAGTCAAACCATCCAGTCATGGTTTGATGTGAATTACATGGAACAGAGACGGAAATGGGTCAATATGGGTTTTCTCTTCTTTATGTGTTGTTCGTTGCATGATAGAAGGACGCTTGGTGCGGTTGATTCGGCTGATGGTCTACCTATTTACTTACGTACGGGATATATGCATTTTTCTTCCCTTTCGCCTGACAATTATTGTTACTGATGCGGGGAGTTTTCTTCTTTTTTTCGTTGTTGATTGGTCTAAGATGGAGTTTAATCTCATTTCTTACTTTACTTGTATTGCCTTTCTTCCTTCCGTTCTTTTCACTCAACCTACCATTGCACTCGTTGCCCTTGCATGCTTCTTCTCGTGCGCTGTTCGATCCTGGTTGTATATCCTTTTTGGGTGTAGGCGGGTTTCCTTTCCCAGTGAATATACTTGTGGTATAGGGGCTAAATACACGGACCCACTAACTTTTGGCCGCTGAAGTATCGCTCCGTAGTATTAGAATGAGTATCCGTAGTATTAGAATGAGTATGTATAGTTGGTGAAACCATACTTAGAGAACGGTAATAACTGTAACTTCCATAACTGCAACGATAGTAAACGGGTATCTATTGTATGTACTACACTAAAATATAGACTCTTGTATATAATTAGGCTTTAGGCGTCTTCTTCATTCCCTTCCGGATAGATCCCAGGAAGAATCCGGGGTAGAAGTAGGTAAGGCAGCTCACGGCGATCGCCATCATCCTATAACTCCAGTCAGTACCGTCCGTACTCACAATATAGAACGGGACGGGAGCCATAATCAAAAGGGCCACTCACATTCCATCAAGAACCAAGAATTCATTCTCTCTCTGCATGAGCGGGTTACCCCATCCACCGGCCATTTCAGGGATACTGCATATGCCACGTTAGCATCTCGCAACGTACCTAGATTGAGAAGGTGACAGTAGAAGAGGTAGTGAGCAGGCATACCGATAAATACAGCGAATCAAAGTAGCAAAGTAAGCCACAATGCCGGCCCAAATAACGAGCCTGAGGTTCTTCGGCCCAGTGAGATTTCCATTCTCATCAATGAACTTCTCGCCGCCCAAACCCGGTCCCTTTCTCACGACGCGGATGAAGAAATCCAACGCCAACAGACCACAAACCGACATTGTGCCCACCTGGAAGGCGATACCCGCTACCATGATATCATCGCCCACCTTCAGCAGACTCTGGTTCTCGCTGCCTGCTGCCGCGGCAACACCGCCACCTGCGGCTTGGAGAATGAGTGATCCGACATCACAGCTGATGAAGATCCAGGTGAAGAGCTGGGGCTTGAGACGCGAGTATTCCGGGCCCAGGGAGAGAATGACGTGTTTCAGGGTGAGATAGATACCGGCGGCGATGAAGGTCGGGGCGAGCACGAGACAGACGATTTGTAGTTTGAAGGCGCCTTGGTCCCAAGGGTTGTGGTTCATTAGGATTCGACCGATGTATCCTGCTAGTTCCATGTATCCGCCGATTACCATTGCGATCATCATTGTCCAGGAGCGGTAGTAGACGCCGAGACCGAGTTGGAGGGTGCCGAGTAGGCCGAAGTAGACGGCGAAGAAGATGTTACCGCCGAGGTTGGGGTAGTAGCCGTATGTTGTCGCTGTGACGGGACATTCTGGCGTGACGTGCGTGCAAGTGATGCTCATGGTGATAGGTTGTCGTCCTCTGGTCCTGGTGGTCGTAAAGAGTAGTCGTGTACGGTGTGGAGGAGGGAAAGATAGCTGATATAGGTGGGAGAAATGAAAGAAAGTAACAAGCCGCTATGTATAGGTCTATATGCAATATACCATGCAATATATGCAAGCAAAGTAGGAAAACGAGGGAAAGAAAGAAACAGATATGTAAGATGACGCCGGCTCCGACCCTGATAGATGCGCGCACATATTGTATGTCAGCCTGATGGGGATCAGACCTATTAATATAAGACAGTCGAATAAAATTTATAGTCGACCCGTTCTTTATCCCGATTTGCCGGGTTCTGGAGACGGTCCTCTGCCTGGTGGATCGGTCGTGTATAAATTTCATGGCATGACAACGCCGATTGGCTCGCTTTCGTTCTCGTTCTCGTTTTCGTTCTCGCACTACTCCACCGGCTGTATCTGTTGGTTCGACCGTTATCGCCGATTGGGGAATTCCTCCGGCCATGCACTTGGTTCCTTGCCAGAAGGAAACATTTTGAGCTCGTATCCTCTTGATTTGTCCGTAGAGCTCATTTATTCCTAGTCATCAACGAGCTGTTTGAATAACTCCCAGGAATAATTCCCGGAATTGATCTCGTCGATGGAGATAAAGCGTGCCTGGAGAAGATTCAGTAAGCATTCATTTAACCGACTTGATAGCGGCCGTTGTGGGGACTCACGGCTCCACCTGTGTCATTGCGCCCCTTTTGCTGCTGGATTGGAGAAACAAAACAGCCAGAGGTGAAACAACTCTTTCTGTAGATAGTTGCAGCAGCTCTCGGCATGCCGGTGCCCAGCTTGCATTGACCCCAGGAAATCTTATAGCCTAATGGAACATCTGCGCTGGTGGACAGTTTTGATGGGTTGTTATCACGTGACACGGAGAATTAGTCACCCCGCGTCGGCACGTGGAGCCGCTTACTAGTACAAAGTAGTTCTCATCCATCCACTCGATTTATTTTACCGTTAAGTGGACGATGATATCCGCCGGCAAATAAGCGTCCGATATGCTCCTTTATCGAAAACAGGGCTAAATTCGCAAGATATGAGACCGGTGGGTATAAATTGAGGGGAAATGCCACCTAGAAGGACCCATACCAAGTCACGCAATGGCTGTGACCAGTGTAAGAAGAGACGCGTCAAGGTAAGCATCATTCACTTTCATACTTCTCATATCCCGCATTCCTGGGCTACGCCTGAATTGAACAGCCGAAAGTGTTCATTTCTGGAACTATCCGATACCCGTCTAATTCACTGTCATCCCCGCAGCACCTTTCTAAGTTCTAACGGCTGTAGTGCGACGAACGAGGCCCACCATGCTCCAATTGCATTAGCCGGGAGCTGGCATGTACTTACTTTAGGACCCCGGCGGCACGCAAGGAGACTACACTATCGATAAGCCCTGCTCCTTTGCAGTCAATAGTAGCACCCGCTGAGGCAACATTCCATGCCAACCAGCCCGTCTCCCGCCATGGATCTTCACCGCCAAACTTTGCTTGCCTGCGGGAGCTTGAGCTAATGCACAAGTTTTCCACGGAGACCTATCTAAGTTTATGCAATGAACCAACAGATCACCATGAATGGCAGTATGTTATCCCTCGCAAAGCTTTGCAGCATGACTTCCTCATGAGCGGGATACTAGCGGTGGCATCTCTCCATATCGCGTCGACACTCGATCCACCAGAAGCGCTTTCCTATATTGACACAGCTCTGGAGTACCATAATCATGCATTTGCGCCTTTTCGTCATGCGATTGATAACCTCACTCCAGCCAACTGTGACGCAGTCTTAGCTCACTCAGTAATCACAACTGTTATTGGTATAAAGTTACCACAATTGGCACGAGAAGAGAATCAAAGCATGACCGAAAACATCATTGTCGTTTTCGAGTTGCTGCACGGAGTCAGTAAAATCTTCACCATCAGCCGTCCCTGGCTTCAAGGGAAATTGTTTACTTCCCGAAGAGGCTTCTGGGAAAATCAACTTTCCATACTAGACAGTGAAATTGAGGCTGCGCTGGATCGATTAACGGCATTGAACAATGATATGCTTGCTCCTGACAAAGCGGATCAACACCACATCATCAAGAATGCAATAGCTCTTCTACGCCGTTGTTTCTGCAGGTACAATCATGCCCGGGACGTGGCTTCCATACTCGCATGGGTTGCAACCGTTGATAAGGAATTCGTTCATGCTCTGAGATGCCGTCAACCCCTCGCACTGCTAGTTCTCATACACTGGGGTGTTCTGCTCCAGGAGCTTGATGAAAAAGTGTGGTGGGCAAAGAATTCCGGAACAGCTCTGGTATCAGAGTTGCTGAATGCCCTCCGTCCCTGCGACGTACGGTGGGAAGGTGCATTGCAGTGGCCGAAACGTAAGATAGGGCTTTGAGGAACATACAATGGATCAGTTTCTGCGTTCTTACCCCGTGGCCACCGGGGTCACAGCTACTGCACGAGCTGCGCGCCGGCAATGGTTACAAGAGCTCCGCATTATATTGGGCGCTGGTCAGCGTACAGATTGACACGCATCTATCAGCACAGACTAAACACAAATAAGGCCGTCGCATATAAATAACAGGTCTTGCAAACGACTATCTCAAAACAAGGCACAGACGCCCCTTCAAAGCTTCCCCATTCTTCTCAGCACCTTTTCATAAGCTTCTTTTGTCCGTGCTGAAGAGAGCTTGTCAAGATAATGTTGACAGAACGCTAAGCTTAAAGGACCCCCGAGCTGTTTCAGCCAGTATGATCGCCCACAATCGAAAATCCAGTTGCGGGTGCCCACCTTGACAAGCTCTGCTAGGATGTGTTGTGGGATACTTCGATCTTGCACGAATATTATCTTTGGTAGCTCATGCCGAATCTCTTCCGGGGCATTTTCCCTGCATATGGCTAGGATCTCGTCGAACGTATGGCTCACATATAATTGCGATCCGATATGAACGATCCCTCGTGTTCCAGCAGCTGCATGCAAAAGGCACGCATTTGCGACAAAGTCAACTGGTATTTCATCCAAGATATTCTGACCACTCTTATAGCCCTCTGCGGCGTGCCATATCTGGGTACCTCCCTGGTCTGAAAAGTACAACGTAGAGAACTTCGTCAGAGGCGTCGAATCCTCGGGCCCGTACAGTGGGTATGGGTCTCGGACAGCCGGTCCAAAGATCGTCGGACGGACAAACAATACCGGGAGCGTCGGATACCGCTTGAACGTTAAGCGCTCCATAAGATGCTTCGCATGGGTATAAG